CAGAATGATATCGGCACTCCTTATCCGTTCCTCCAGAATGATATCGGCACTCCTTATCCGTTCCTCCAGAATGATATCGGCACTCCTTATCCGTTCCTCCAGAATGATATCGGCACTCCTTATCCGTTCCTCCAGAATGATATCGGCACTCCTTATCCGTTCCTCCAGAATGATATCGGCACTCCTTATCCGTTCCTCCAGAATGATATCGGCACTCCTTATCCGTTCCTCCAGAATGATATCGGCACTCCTTATCCGTTCCTCCAGAATGATATCGGCACTCCTTATCCGTTCCTCCAGAATGATATCGGCACTCCTTATCCGTTCCTCCAGAATGATATCGGCACTCCTTATCCGTTCCTCCAGAATGATATCGGCACTCCTTATCCGTTCCTCCAGAATGATATCGGCACTCCTTATCCGTTCCTCCAGAATGATATCGGCACTCCTTATCCGTTCCTCCAGAATGATATCGGCACTCCTTATCCGTTCCTCCAGAATGATATTGGCACTCCTTATCCGTTCCTCCAGAATGATATTGGCACTCCTTATCCGTTCCTCCAGAATGATATTGGCACTCCTTATCCGTTCCTCCAGAATGATATTGGCACTCCTTATCCGTTCCTCCAGAATGATATTGGCACTCCTTATCCGTTCCTCCAGAATGATATTGGCACTCCTTATCCGTTCCTCCAGAATGATATTGGCACTCCTTATCCGTTCCTCCAGAATGATATTGGCACTCCTTATCCGTTCCTCCAGAATGATATTGGCACTCCTTATCCGTTCCTCCAGAATGATATTGGCACTCCTCATCCGTTCCTCCAGAATGATATTGGCACTCCTTATCCGTTCCTCCAGAATGATATCGGCACTCCTTATCCGTTCCTCCAGAATGATATCGGCACTCCTTATCCGTTCCTCCAGAATGATATTGGCACTCCTTATCCGTTCCTCCAGAATGATATTGGCACTCCTTATCCGTTCCTCCAGAATGATATTGGCACTCCTTATCCGTTCCTCCAGAATGATATCGGCACTCCTTATCCGTTCCTCCAGAATGATATCGGCACTCCTTATCCGTTCCTCCAGAATGATATTGGCACTCCTTATCCGTTCCTCCAGAATGATATTGGCACTCCTTATCCGTTCCTCCAGAATGATATTGGCACTCCTTATCCGTTCCTCCAGAATGATATTGGCACTCCTTATCCGTTCCTCCAGAATGATATTGGCACTCCTTATCCGTTCCTCCAGAATGATATTGGCACTCCTTATCCGTTCCTCCAGAATGATATTGGCACTCCTTATCCGTTCCTCCAGAATGATATCGGCACTCCTTATCCGTTCCTCCAGAATGATATCGGCACTCCTTATCCGTTCCTCCAGAATGATATTGGCACTCCTTATCCGTTCCTCCAGAATGATATTGGCACTCCTTATCCGTTCCTCCAGAATGATATTGGCACTCCTTATCCGTTCCTCCAGAATGATATTGGCACTCCTTATCCGTTCCTCCAGAATGATATTGGCACTCCTTATCCGTTCCTCCAGAATGATATTGGCACTCCTTATCCGTTCCTCCAGAATGATATTGGCACTCCTTATCCGTTCCTCCAGAATGATATTGGCACTCCTTATCCGTTCCTCCAGAATGATATCGGCACTCCTTATCCGTTCCTCCAGAATGATATCGGCACTCCTTATCCGTTCCTCCAGAATGATATTGGCACTCCTTATCCGTTCCTCCAGAATGATATTGGCACTCCTTATCCGTTCCTCCAGAATGATATTGGCACTCCTTATCCGTTCCTCCAGAATGATATTGGCACTCCTTATCCGTTCCTCCAGAATGATATTGGCACTCCTTATCCGTTCCTCCAGAATGATATCGGCACTCCTTATCCGTTCCTCCAGAATGATATTGGCACTCCTTATCCGTTCCTCCAGAATGATATTGGCACTCCTTATCCGTTCCTCCAGAATGATATTGGCACTCCTTATCCGTTCCTCCAGAATGATATTGGCACTCCTTATCCGTTCCTCCAGAATGATATTGGCACTCCTTATCCGTTCCTCCAGAATGATATTGGCACTCCTTATCCGTTCCTCCAGAATGATATTGGCACTCCTTATCCGTTCCTCCAGAATGATATTGGCACTCCTTATCCGTTCCTCCAGAATGATATTGGCACTCCTCATCCGTTCCTCCAGAATGATATTGGCACTCCTTATCCGTTCCTCCAGAATGATATTGGCACTCCTCATCCGTTCCTCCAGAATGATATTGGCACTCCTTATCCGTTCCTCCAGAATGATATTGGCACTCCTTATCCGTTCCTCCAGAATGATATTGGCACTCCTTATCCGTTCCTCCAGAATGATATTGGCACTCCTTATCCGTTCCTCCAGAATGATATTGGCACTCCTTATCCGTTCCTCCAGAATGATATTGGCACTCCTTATCCGTTCCTCCAGAATGATATTGGCACTCCTTATCCGTTCCTCCAGAATGATATCGGCACTCCTTATCCGTTCCTCCAGAATGATATTGGCACTCCTTATCCGTTCCTCCAGAATGATATCGGCACTCCTTATCCGTTCCTCCAGAATGATATTGGCACTCCTTATCCGTTCCTCCAGAATGATATTGGCACTCCTTATCCGTTCCTCCAGAATGATATTGGCACTCCTTATCCGTTCCTCCAGAATGATATTGGCACTCCTTATCCGTTCCTCCAGAATGATATTGGCACTCCTTATCCGTTCCTCCAGAATGATATTGGCACTCCTTATCCGTTCCTCCAGAATGATATTGGCACTCCTTATCCGTTCCTCCAGAATGATATTGGCACTCCTTATCCGTTCCTCCAGAATGATATTGGCACTCCTTATCCGTTCCTCCAGAATGATATCGGCACTCCTTATCCGTTCCTCCAGAATGATATCGGCACTCCTTATCCGTTCCTCCAGAATGATATCGGCACTCCTTATCCGTTCCTCCAGAATGATATTGGCACTCCTTATCCGTTCCTCCAGAATGATATTGGCACTCCTTATCCGTTCCTCCAGAATGATATCGGCACTCCTTATCCGTTCCTCCAGAATGATATCGGCACTCCTTATCCGTTCCTCCAGAATGATATTGGCACTCCTTATCCGTTCCTCCAGAATGATATTGGCACTCCTTATCCGTTCCTCCAGAATGATATTGGCACTCCTTATCCGTTCCTCCAGAATGATATCGGCACTCCTTATCCGTTCCTCCAGAATGATATCGGCACTCCTTATCCGTTCCTCCAGAATGATATTGGCACTCCTTATCCGTTCCTCCAGAATGATATTGGCACTCCTCATCCGTTCCTCCATCCGTCCAGAATGATATCGGCACTCCTTATCCGTTCCTCCAGAATGATATCGGCACTCCTCATCCGTTCCTCCTCCTCCAGAATGATATCGGCACTCCTTATCCGTTCCTCCAGAATGATATCGGCACTCCTTATCCGTTCCTCCAGAATGATATCGGCACTCCTTATCCGTTCCTCCAGAATGATATCGGCACTCCTTATCCGTTCCTCCAGAATGATATCGGCACTCCTTATCCGTTCCTCCAGAATGATATCGGCACTCCTTATCCGTTCCTCCAGAATGATATCGGCACTCCTTATCCGTTCCTCCAGAATGATATCGGCACTCCTTATCCGTTCCTCCAGAATGATATCGGCACTCCTTATCCGTTCCTCCAGAATGATATCGGCACTCCTTATCCGTTCCTCCAGAATGATATTGGCACTCCTCATCCGTTCCTCCAGAATGATATCGGCACTCCTCATCCGTTCCTCCAGAATGATATCGGCACTCCTTATCCGTTCCTCCAGAATGATATCGGCACTCCTTATCCGTTCCTCCAGAATGATATCGGCACTCCTTATCCGTTCCTCCAGAATGATATTGGCACTCCTTATCCGTTCCTCCAGAATGATATTGGCACTCCTTATCCGTTCCTCCAGAATGATATTGGCACTCCTTATCCGTTCCTCCAGAATGATATTGGCACTCCTTATCCGTTCCTCCAGAATGATATCGGCACTCCTTATCCGTTCCTCCAGAATGATATCGGCACTCCTTATCCGTTCCTCCAGAATGATATCGGCACTCCTTATCCGTTCCTCCAGAATGATATTGGCACTCCTTATCCGTTCCTCCAGAATGATATTGGCACTCCTTATCCGTTCCTCCAGAATGATATTGGCACTCCTTATCCGTTCCTCCAGAATGATATTGGCACTCCTTATCCGTTCCTCCAGAATGATATTGGCACTCCTTATCCGTTCCTCCAGAATGATATTGGCACTCCTTATCCGTTCCTCCAGAATGATATTGGCACTCCTTATCCGTTCCTCCAGAATGATATTGGCACTCCTTATCCGTTCCTCCAGAATGATATCGGCACTCCTTATCCGTTCCTCCAGAATGATATCGGCACTCCTTATCCGTTCCTCCAGAATGATATTGGCACTCCTTATCCGTTCCTCCAGAATGATATTGGCACTCCTTATCCGTTCCTCCAGAATGATATCGGCACTCCTCATCCGTTCCTCCAGAATGATATCGGCACTCCTTATCCGTTCCTCCAGAATGATATTGGCACTCCTTATCCGTTCCTCCAGAATGATATTGGCACTCCTTATCCGTTCCTCCAGAATGATATTGGCACTCCTTATCCGTTCCTCCAGAATGATATTGGCACTCCTTATCCGTTCCTCCAGAATGATATTGGCACTCCTCATCCGTTCCTCCAGAATGATGATATGGCACTCCTTATCCGTTCCTCCAGAATGATATTGGCACTCCTTATCCGTTCCTCCAGAATGATATTGGCACTCCTTATCCGTTCCTCCAGAATGATATTGGCACTCCTCATCCGTTCCTCCAGAATGATATTGGCACTCCTTATCCGTCCTCCGAATGATATTGGCACTCCTTATCCGTTCCTCCAGAATGATATCGGCACTCCTTATCCGTTCCTCCAGAATGATATTGGCACTCCTTATCCGTTCCTCCAGAATGATATTGGCACTCCTTATCCGTTCCTCCAGAATGATATTGGCACTCCTTATCCGTTCCTCCAGAATGATATTGGCACTCCTTATCCGTTCCTCCAGAATGATATTGGCACTCCTTATCCGTTCCTCCAGAATGATATTGGCACTCCTTATCCGTTCCTCCAGAATGATATTGGCACTCCTTATCCGTTCCTCCAGAATGATATTGGCACTCCTTATCCGTTCCTCCAGAATGATATCGGCACTCCTTATCCGTTCCTCCAGAATGATATTGGCACTCCTCATCCGTTCCTCCAGAATGATATCGGCACTCCTTATCCGTTCCTCCAGAATGATATCGGCACTCCTTATCCGTTCCTCCAGAATGATATCGGCACTCCTTATCCGTTCCTCCAGAATGATATTGGCACTCCTTATCCGTTCCTCCAGAATGATATCGGCACTCCTTATCCGTTCCTCCAGAATGATATTGGCACTCCTTATCCGTTCCTTCATCCGTTCCTCCAGAATGATATCGACACTCCTTATCCGTTCCTCCAGAATGATATTGGCACTCCTTATCCGTTCCTCCAGAATGATATCGGCACTCCTTATCCGTTCCTCCAGAATGATATTGGCACTCCTTATCCGTTCCTCCAGAATGATATTGGCACTCCTTATCCGTTCCTCCTCAAATGATATTGGCACTCCCTATCCGTTCCTCCAGAATGATATCGGCACTCCTTATCCGTTCCTCCAGAATGATATTGGCACTCCTTATCCGTTCCTCCAGAATGATATCGGCACTCCTTATCCGTTCCTCCAGAATGATATTGGCACTCCTTATCCGTTCCTCCAGAATGATATTGGCACTCCTTATCCGTTCCTCCAGAATGATATCGGCACTCCTTATCCGTTCCTCCAGAATGATATCGGCACTCCTTATCCGTTCCTCCAGAATGATATCGGCACTCCTTATCCGTTCCTCCAGAATGATATTGGCACTCCTTATCCGTTCCTCCAGAATGATATTGGCACTCCTTATCCGTTCCTCCAGAATGATATCGGCACTCCTTATCCGTTCCTCCAGAATGATATTGGCACTCCTTATCCGTTCCTCCAGAATGATATCGGCACTCCTTATCCGTTCCTCCAGAATGATATTGGCACTCCTTATCCGTTCCTCCAGAATGATATTGGCACTCCTTATCCGTTCCTCCAGAATGATATTGGCACTCCTTATCCGTTCCTCCAGAATGATATCGGCACTCCTTATCCGTTCCTCCAGAATGATATTGGCACTCCTTATCCGTTCCTCCAGAATGATATTGGCACTCCTTTATTGGCACTCCTCATCCGTTCCTCCAGAATGATATCGACACTCCTTATCCGTTCCTCCAGAATGATATCGGCACTCCTTATCCGTTCCTCCAGAATGATATTGGCACTCCTTATCCGTTCCTCCAGAATGATATTGGCACTCCTCATCCGTTCCTCCAGAATGATATCGGCACTCCTTATCCGTTCCTCCAGAATGATATTGGCACTCCTCATCCGTTCCTCCAGAATGATATTGGCACTCCTTATCCGTTCCTCCAGAATGATATTGGCACTCCTCATCCGTTCCTCCAGAATGATATTGGCACTCCTCATCCGTTCCTCCAGAATGATATTGGCACTCCTTATCCGTTCCTCCAGAATGATATTGGCACTCCTTATCCGTTCCTCCAGAATGATATTGGCACTCCTTATCCGTTCCTCCAGAATGATATCGGCACTCCTTATCCGTTCCTCCAGAATGATATTGGCACTCCTTATCCGTTCCTCCAGAATGATATTGGCACTCCTTATCCGTTCCTCCAGAATGATATTGGCACTCCTTATCCGTTCCTCCAGAATGATATTGGCACTCCTTATCCGTTCCTCCAGAATGATATTGGCACTCCTCATCCGTTCCTCCAGAATGATATTGGCACTCCTTATCCGTTCCTCCAGAATGATATTGGCACTCCTTATCCGTTCCTCCAGAATCATATCGGCACTCCTTATCCGTTCCTCCAGAATGATATCGGCACTCCTTATCCGTTCCTCCAGAATGATATTGGCACTCCTCATCCGTTCCTCCAGAATGATATTGGCACTCCTTATCCGTTCCTCCAGAATGATATTGGCACTCCTCATCCGTTCCTCCAGAATGATATCGGCACTCCTTATCCGTTCCTCCAGAATGATATTGGCACTCCTTATCCGTTCCTCCAGAATGATATTGGCACTCCTCATCCGTTCCTCCAGAATGATATTGGCACTCCTTATCCGTTCCTCCAGAATGATATTGGCACTCCTTATCCGTTCCTCCAGAATGATATTGGCACTCCTTATCCGTTCCTCCAGAATGATATTGGCACTCCTCATCCGTTCCTCCAGAATGATATTGGCACTCCTTATCCGTTCCTCCAGAATGATATTGGCACTCCTTATCCGTTCCTCCAGAATGATATTGGCACTCCTTATCCGTTCCTCCAGAATCATATCGGCACTCCTTATCCGTTCCTCCAGAATCATATTGGCACTCCTTATCCGTTCCTCCAGAATGATATCGGCACTCCTTATCCGTTCCTCCAGAATGATATCGGCACTCCTTATCCGTTCCTCCAGAATGATATCGGCACTCCTTATCCGTTCCTCCAGAATGATATTGGCACTCCTTATCCGTTCCTCCAGAATGATATTGGCACTCCTTATCCGTTCCTCCAGAATGATATTGGCACTCCTTATCCGTTCCTCCAGAATGATATCGACACTCCTTATCCGTTCCTCCAGAATGATATCGGCACTCCTTATCCGTTCCTCCAGAATGATATTGGCACTCCTCATCCGTTCCTCCAGAATGATATTGGCACTCCTTATCCGTTCCTCCAGAATGATATCGACACTCCTTATCCGTTCCTCCAGAATGATATTGGCACTCCTCATCCGTTCCTCCAGAATGATATCGGCACTCCTTATCCGTTCCTCCAGAATGATATTGGCACTCCTTATCCGTTCCTCCAGAATGATATTGGCACTCCTTATCCGTTCCTCCAGAATGATATTGGCACTCCTTATCCGTTCCTCCAGAATGATATTGGCACTCCTCATCCGTTCCTCCAGAATGATATTGGCACTCCTTATCCGTTCCTCCAGAATGATATTGGCACTCCTTATCCGTTCCTCCAGAATGATATTGGCACTCCTTATCCGTTCCTCCAGAATGATATCGGCACTCCTTATCCGTTCCTCCAGAATGATATTGGCACTCCTTATCCGTTCCTCCAGAATGATATCGGCACTCCTTATCCGTTCCTCCAGAATGATATCGGCACTCCTTATCCGTTCCTCCAGAATGATATTGGCACTCCTTATCCGTTCCTCCAGAATGATATTGGCACTCCTTATCCGTTCCTCCAGAATGATATTGGCACTCCTTATCCGTTCCTCCAGAATGATATTGGCACTCCTTATCCGTTCCTCCAGAATGATATTGGCACTCCTCATCCGTTCCTCCAGAATGATATTGGCACTCCTTATCCGTTCCTCCAGAATGATATTGGCACTCCTTATCCGTTCCTCCAGAATGATATTGGCACTCCTTATCCGTTCCTCCAGAATGATATTGGCACTCCTTATCCGTTCCTCCAGAATGATATTGGCACTCCTCATCCGTTCCTCCAGAATGATATCGGCACTCCTTATCCGTTCCTCCAGAATGATATTGGCACTCCTTATCCGTTCCTCCAGAATGATATCGGCACTCCTTATCCGTTCCTCCAGAATGATATCGGCACTCCTTATCCGTTCCTCCAGAATGATATTGGCACTCCTCATCCGTTCCTCCAGAATGATATTGGCACTCCTTATCCGTTCCTCCAGAATGATATCGGCACTCCTTATCCGTTCCTCCAGAATGATATTGGCACTCCTTATCCGTTCCTCCAGAATGATATCGGCACTCCTTATCCGTTCCTCCAGAATGATATTGGCACTCCTTATCCGTTCCTCCAGAATGATATTGGCACTCCTTCCTTCCCCAGAATCCCCCCTTATCCGTCCTCCAGAATGATATTGGCACTCCTTATCCGTTCCTCCAGAATGATATTGGCACTCCTTATCCGTTCCTCCAGAATGATATTGGCACTCCTTATCCGTTCCTCCAGAATGATATTGGCACTCCTTATCCGTTCCTCCAGAATGATATTGGCACTCCTTATCCGTTCCTCCAGAATGATATTGGCACTCCTTATCCGTTCCTCCAGAATGATATTGGCACTCCTTATCCGTTCCTCCAGAATGATATTGGCACTCCTTATCCGTTCCTCCAGAATGATATCGGCACTCCTTATCCGTTCCTCCAGAATGATATTGGCACTCCTTATCCGTTCCTCCAGAATGATATTGGCACTCCTTATCCGTTCCTCCAGAATGATATTGGCACTCCTTATCCGTTCCTCCAGAATGATATTGGCACTCCTTATCCGTTCCTCCAGAATGATATTGGCACTCCTTATCCGTTCCTCCAGAATGATATTGGCACTCCTCATCCGTTCCTCCAGAATGATATTGGCACTCCTTATCCGTTCCTCCAGAATGATATTGGCACTCCTTATCCGTTCCTCCAGAATGATATTGGCACTCCTTATCCGTTCCTCCAGAATGATATCGGCACTCCTTATCCGTTCCTCCAGAATGATATTGGCACTCCTTATCCGTTCCTCCAGAATGATATCGGCACTCCTTATCCGTTCCTCCAGAATGATATCGGCACTCCTTATCCGTTCCTCCAGAATGATATCGGCACTCCTTATCCGTTCCTCCAGAATGATATTGGCACTCCTTATCCGTTCCTCCAGAATGATATTGGCACTCCTTATCCGTTCCTCCAGAATGATATTGGCACTCCTTATCCGTTCCTCCAGAATGATATCGGCACTCCTTATCCGTTCCTCCAGAATGATATCGGCACTCCTTATCCGTTCCTCCAGAATGATATTGGCACTCCTCATCCGTTCCTCCAGAATGATATTGGCACTCCTTATCCGTTCCTCCAGAATGATATCGGCACTCCTTATCCGTTCCTCCAGAATGATATTGGCACTCCTTATCCGTTCCTCCAGAATGATATCGGCACTCCTTATCCGTTCCTCCAGAATGATATTGGCACTCCTTATCCGTTCCTCCAGAATGATATTGGCACTCCTTATCCGTTCCTCCAGAATGATATTGGCACTCCTTATCCGTTCCTCCAGAATGATATTGGCACTCCTTATCCGTTCCTCCAGAATGATATTGGCACTCCTTATCCGTTCCTCCAGAATGATATTGGCACTCCTTATCCGTTCCTCCAGAATGATATTGGCACTCCTTATCCGTTCCTCCAGAATCATATCGGCACTCCTTATCCGTTCCTCCAGAATCATATTGGCACTCCTTATCCGTTCCTCCAGAATGATATCGGCACTCCTTATCCGTTCCTCCAGAATGATATCGGCACTCCTTATCCGTTCCTCCAGAATGATATTGGCACTCCTTATCCGTTCCTCCAGAATGATATTGGCACTCCTTATCCGTTCCTCCAGAATGATATTGGCACTCCTTATCCGTTCCTCCAGAATGATATCGACACTCCTTATCCGTTCCTCCAGAATGATATCGGCACTCCTTATCCGTTCCTCCAGAATGATATTGGCACTCCTCATCCGTTCCTCCAGAATGATATTGGCACTCCTCATCCGTTCCTCCAGAATGATATCGGCACTCCTTATCCGTTCCTCCAGAATGATATTGGCACTCCTCATCCGTTCCTCCAGAATGATATCGGCACTCCTTATCCGTTCCTCCAGAATGATATTGGCACTCCTTATCCGTTCCTCCAGAATGATATTGGCACTCCTCATCCGTTCCTCCAGAATGATATCGACACTCCTTATCCGTTCCTCCAGAATGATATTGGCACTCCTTATCCGTTCCTCCAGAATGATATCGGCACTCCTTATCCGTTCCTCCAGAATGATATTGGCACTCCTTATCCGTTCCTCCAGAATGATATTGGCACTCCTCATCCGTTCCTCCAGAATGATATTGGCACTCCTTATCCGTTCCTCCAGAATGATATCGACACTCCTTATCCGTTCCTCCAGAATGATATCGGCACTCCTTATCCGTTCCTCCAGAATGATATTGGCACTCCTTATCCGTTCCTCCAGAATGATATTGGCACTCCTCATCCGTTCCTCCAGAATGATATCGGCACTCCTTATCCGTCCTCTCCAGAATGATATTGGCACTCCTCATCCGTTCCTCCAGAATGATATTGGCACTCCTCATCCGTTCCTCCAGAATGATATTGGCACTCCTCATCCGTTCCTCCAGAATGATATTGGCACTCCTTATCCGTTCCTCCAGAATGATATTGGCACTCCTTATCCGTTCCTTCTCCAGAAATGATATCGGCACTCCTTATCCGTTCCTCCAGAATGATATTGGCACTCCTTATCCGTTCCTCCAGAATGATATTGGCTTCCTGATCCGTTCCTCCAGAATGATATTGGCACTCCTTATCCGTTCCTCCAGAATGATATTGGCACTCCTTATCCGTTCCTCCAGAATGATATTGGCACTCCTCATCCGTTCCTCCAGAATGATATTGGCACTCCTTATCCGTTCCTCCAGAATGATATTGGCACTCCTTATCCGTTCCTCCAGAATGATATTGGCACTCCTTATCCGTTCCTCCAGAATCATATCGGCACTCCTTATCCGTTCCTCCAGAATGATATTGGCACTCCTCATCCGTTCCTCCAGAATGATATTGGCACTCCTTATCCGTTCCTCCAGAATGATATTGGCACTCCTTATCCGTTCCTCCAGAATGATATCGGCACTCCTTATCCGTTCCTCCAGAATGATATTGGCACTCCTTATCCGTTCCTCCAGAATGATATTGGCACTCCTTATCCGTTCCTCCAGAATGATATTGGCACTCCTTATCCGTTCCTCCAGAATGATATTGGCACTCCTTATCCGTTCCTCCAGAATGATATTGGCACTCCTTATCCGTTCCTCCAGAATGATATTGGCACTCCTCATCCGTTCCTCCAGAATGATATTGGCACTCCTTATCCGTTCCTCCAGAATCATATTGGCACTCCTTATCCGTTCCTCCAGAATGATATTGGCACTCCTTATCCGTTCCTCCAGAATGATATCGGCACTCCTTATCCGTTCCTCCAGAATCATATTGGCACTCCTTATCCGTTCCTCCAGAATGATATTGGCACTCCTTATCCGTTCCTCCAGAATGATATCGGCACTCCTTATCCGTTCCTCCAGAATGATATCGGCACTCCTTATCCGTTCCTCCAGAATGATATTGGCACTCCTTATCCGTTCCTCCAGAATGATATTGGCACTCCTTATCCGTTCCTCCAGAATGATATTGGCACTCCTTATCCGTTCCTCCAGAATGATATCGACACTCCTTATCCGTTCCTCCAGAATGATATCGGCACTCCTTATCCGTTCCTCCAGAATGATATTGGCACTCCTTATCCGTTCCTCCAGAATGATATTGGCACTCCTTATCCGTTCCTCCAGAATGATATCGGCACTCCTTATCCGTTCCTCCAGAATGATATTGGCACTCCTCATCCGTTCCTCCAGAATGATATCGGCACTCCTTATCCGTTCCTCCAGAATGATATCGGCACTCCTTATCCGTTCCTCCAGAATGATATCGGCACTCCTTATCCGTTCCTCCAGAATGATATTGGCACTCCTTATCCGTTCCTCCAGAATGATATCGGCACTCCTTATCCGTTCCTCCAGAATGATATCGGCACTCCTCATCCGTTCCTCCAGAATGATATCGGCACTCCTTATCCGTTCCTCCAGAATGATATCGGCACTCCTTATCCGTTCCTCCAGAATGATATCGGCACTCCTTATCCGTTCCTCCAGAATGATATCGGCACTCCTTATCCGTTCCTCCAGAATGATATCGGCACTCCTTATCCGTTCCTCCAGAATGAGTTGGCACTCCTTATCCGTTCCTCCAGAATGATATTGGCACTCCTTATCCGTTCCTCCAGAATGATATTGGCACTCCTTATCCGTTCCTCCAGAATGATATCGGCACTCCTTATCCGTTCCTCCAGAATGATATCGGCACTCCTTATCCGTTCCTCCAGAATGATATCGGCACTCCTTATCCGTTCCTCCAGAATGATATTGGCACTCCTCATCCGTTCCTCCAGAATGATATCGGCACTCCTTATCCGTTCCTCCAGAATGATATCGGCACTCCTTATCCGTTCCTCCAGAATGATATCGACACTCCTTATCCGTTCCTCCAGAATGATATCGGCACTCCTTATCCGTTCCTCCAGAATGATATCGGCACTCCTTATCCGTTCCTCCAGAATGATATCGGCACTCCTTATCCGTTCCTCCAGAATGATATCGGCACTCCTTATCCGTTCCTCCAGAATGATATCGGCACTCCTTATCCGTTCCTCCAGAATGATATCGGCACTCCTTATCCGTTCCTCCAGAATGATATCGGCACTCCTTATCCGTTCCTCCAGAATGATATCGGCACTCCTCATCCGTTCCTCCAGAATGATATCGGCACTCCTCATTGATATCGGCACTCCTTATCCGTTCCTCCAGAATGATATTGGCACTCCTCATCCGTTCCTCCAGAATGATATCGGCACTCCTTATCCGTTCCTCCAGAATGATATCGGCACTCCTTATCCGTTCCTCCAGAATGATATCGGCACTCCTTATCCGTTCCTCCAGAATGATATCGGCACTCCTTATCCGTTCCTCCAGAATGATATTGGCACTCCTTATCCGTTCCTCCAGAATGATATTGGCACTCCTTATCCGTTCCTCCAGAATGATATCGGCACTCCTTATCCGTTCCTCCAGAATGATATTGGCACTCCTTATCCGTTCCTCCAGAATGATATTGGCACTCCTTATCCGTTCCTCCAGAATGATATTGGCACTCCTTATCCGTTCCTCCAGAATGATATTGGCACTCCTTATCCGTTCCTCCAGAATGATATTGGCACTCCTTATCCGTTCCTCCAGAATGATATTGGCACTCCTTATCCGTTCCTCCAGAATGATATTGGCACTCCTTATCCGTTCCTCCAGAATGATATTGGCACTCCTTATCCGTTCCTCCAGAATGATATTGGCACTCCTTATCCGTTCCTCCAGAATGATATTGGCACTCCTCATCCGTTCCTCCAGAATGATATTGGCACTCCTTATCCGTTCCTCCAGAATGATATCGGCACTCCTTATCCGTTCCTCCAGAATGATATCGGCACTCCTTATCCGTTCCTCCAGAATGATATCGGCACTCCTCATCCGTTCCTCCAGAATGATATCGGCACTCCTTATCCGTTCCTCCAGAATGATATTGGCACTCCTTATCCGTTCCTCCAGAATGATATCGGCACTCCTTATCCGTTCCTCCAGAATGATATCGGCACTCCTTATCCGTTCCTCCAGAATGATATCGGCACTCCTTATCCGTTCCTCCAGAATGATATTGGCACTCCTTATCCGTTCCTCCAGAATGATATTGGCACTCCTTATCCGTTCCTCCAGAATGATATCGGCACTCCTTATCCGTTCCTCCAGAATGATATTGGCACTCCTTATCCGTTCCTCCAGAATGATATTGGCACTCCTTATCCGTTCCTCCAGAATGATATTGGCACTCCTTATCCGTTCCTCCAGAATGATATTGGCACTCCTTATCCGTTCCTCCAGAATGATATTGGCACCTCTTATCCGTTCCTCCAGAATGATATCGGCACTCCTTATCCGTTCCTCCAGAATGATATTGGCACTCCTTATCCGTTCCTCCAGAATGATATCGGCACTCCTTATCCGTTCCTCCAGAATGATATCGGCACTCCTTATCCGTTCCTCCAGAATGATATTGGCACTCCTTATCCGTTCCTCCTTATACTCCTCCTTATGTTCCTCCAGAATGATATTGGCACTCCTTATCCGTTCCTCCAGAATGATATTGGCACTCCTTATCCGTTCCTCCAGAATGATATTGGCACTCCTCATCCGTTCCTCCAGAATGATATCGGCACTCCTTATCCGTTCCTCCAGAATGATATTGGCACTCCTTATCCGTTCCTCCAGAATGATATTGGCACTCCTTATCCGTTCCTCCAGAATGATATCGGCACTCCTTATCCGTTCCTCCAGAATGATATTGGCACTCCTTATCCGTTCCTCCAGAATGATATCGGCACTCCTTATCCGTTCCTCCAGAATGATATCGGCACTCCTTATCCGTTCCTCCAGAATGATATTGGCACTCCTTATCCGTTCCTCCAGAATGATATTGGCACTCCTTATCCGTTCCTCCAGAATGATATCGGCACTCCTTATCCGTTCCTCCAGAATGATATCGGCACTCCTTATCCGTTCCTCCAGAATGATATCGGCACTCCTTATCCGTTCCTCCAGAATGATATTGGCACTCCTCATCCGTTCCTCCAGAATGATATTGGCACTCCTTATCCGTTCCTCCAGAATGATATCGGCACTCCTTATCCGTTCCTCCAGAATGATATTGGCACTCCTTATCCGTTCCTCCAGAATGATATCGGCACTCCTTATCCGTTCCTCCAGAATGATATTGGCACTCCTTATCCGTTCCTCCAGAATGATATTGGCACTCCTTATCCGTTCCTCCAGAATGATATTGGCACTCCTTATCCGTTCCTCCAGAATGATATCGGCACTCCTTATCCGTTCCTCCAGAATGATATCGGCACTCCTTATCCGTTCCTCCAGAATGATATTGGCACTCCTTATCCGTTCCTCCAGAATGATATTGGCACTCCTTATCCGTTCCTCCAGAATGATATCGGCACTCCTTATCCGTTCCTCCAGAATGATATTGGCACTCCTTATCCGTTCCTCCAGAATGATATCGGCACTCCTTATCCGTTCCTCCAGAATGATATTGGCACTCCTTATCCGTTCCTCCAGAATGATATTGGCACTCCTTATCCGTTCCTCCAGAATGATATTGGCACTCCTCATCCGTTCCTCCAGAATGATATCGGCACTCCTTATCCGTTCCTCCAGAATGATATCGGCACTCCTTATCCGTTCCTCCAGAATGTATATGGCACTCCTTATCCGTTCCTCCAGAATGATATTGGCACTCCTCATCCGTTCCTCCAGAATGATATTGGCACTCCTTATCCGTTCCTCCAGAATGATATTGGCACTCCTTATCCGTTCCTCCAGAATGATATTGGCACTCCTTATCCGTTCCTCCAGAATGATATTGGCACTCCTTATCCGTTCCTCCAGAATGATATTGGCACTCCTTATCCGTTCCTCCAGAATGATATCGGCACTCCTCATCCGTTCCTCCAGAATGATATCGGCACTCCTTATCCGTTCCTCCAGAATGATATTGGCACTCCTTATCCGTTCCTCCAGAATGATATTGGCACTCCTTATCCGTTCCTCCAGAATGATATTGGCACTCCTTATCCGTTCCTCCAGAATGATATTGGCACTCCTTATCCGTTCCTCCAGAATGATATTGGCACTCCTTATCCGTTCCTCCAGAATGATATTGGCACTCCTTATCCGTTCCTCCAGAATGATATTGGCACTCCTTATCCGTTCCTCCAGAATGATATTGGCACTCCTTATCCGTTCCTCCAGAATGATATCGGCACTCCTTATCCGTTCCTCCAGAATGATATTGGCACTCCTTATCCGTTCCTCCAGAATGATATTGGCACTCCTTATCCGTTCCTCCAGAATGATATTGGCACTCCTTATCCGTTCCTCCAGAATGATATCGGCACTCCTTATCCGTTCCTCCAGAATGATATTGGCACTCCTTATCCGTTCCTCCAGAATGATATTGGCACTCCTTATCCGTTCCTCCAGAATGATATCGGCACTCCTTATCCGTTCCTCCAGAATGATATTGGCACTCCTTATCCGTTCCTCCAGAATGATATTGGCACTCCTTATCCGTTCCTCCAGAATGATATTGGCACTCCTTATCCGTTCCTCCAGAATGATATTGGCACTCCTTATCCGTTCCTCCAGAATGATATTGGCACTCCTCATCCGTTCCTCCAGAATGATATTGGCACTCCTTATCCGTTCCTCCAGAATGATATTGGCACTCCTTATCCGTTCCTCCAGAATGATATTGGCACTCCTTATCCGTTCCTCCAGAATGATATCGGCACTCCTTATCCGTTCCTCCAGAATGATATTGGCACTCCTTATCCGTTCCTCCAGAATGATATCGGCACTCCTTATCCGTTCCTCCAGAATGATATCGGCACTCCTTATCCGTTCCTCCAGAATGATATCGGCACTCCTTATCCGTTCCTCCAGAATGATATTGGCACTCCTTATCCGTTCCTCCAGAATGATATTGGCACTCCTTATCCGTTCCTCCAGAATGATATTGGCACTCCTTATCCGTTCCTCCAGAATGATATCGGCACTCCTTATCCGTTCCTCCAGAATGATATTGGCACTCCTTATCCGTTCCTCCAGAATGATATTGGCACTCCTTATCCGTTCCTCCAGAATGATATTGGCACTCCTCATCCGTTCCTCCAGAATGATATTGGCACTCCTTATCCGTTCCTCCAGAATGATATTGGCACTCCTTATCCGTTCCTTATCCGTTCCTCCAGAATGATATTGGCACTCCTCATCCGTTCCTCCAGAATGATATTGGCACTCCTTATCCGTTCCTCCAGAATGATATCGGCACTCCTTATCCGTTCCTCCAGAATGATATCGGCACTCCTTATCCGTTCCTCCAGAATGATATTGGCACTCCTTATCCGTTCCTCCAGAATGATATTGGCACTCCTTATCCGTTCCTCCAGAATGATATCGACACTCCTTATCCGTTCCTCCAGAATGATATTGGCACTCCTTATCCGTTCCTCCAGAATGATATTGGCACTCCTTATCCGTTCCTCCAGAATGATATTGGCACTCCTTATCCGTTCCTCCAGAATGATATTGGCACTCCTTATCCGTTCCTCCAGAATGATATTGGCACTCCTTATCCGTTCCTCCAGAATGATATCGGCACTCCTTATCCGTTCCTCCAGAATGATATTGGCACTCCTCATCCGTTCCTCCAGAATGATATTGGCACTCCTTATCCGTTCCTCCAGAATGATATCGGCACTCCTTATCCGTTCCTCCAGAATGATATCGGCACTCCTTATCCGTTCCTCCAGAATGATATTGGCACTCCTTATCCGTTCCTCCAGAATGATATTGGCACTCCTTATCCGTTCCTCCAGAATGATATTGGCACTCCTTATCCGTTCCTCCAGAATGATATCGACACTCCTTATCCGTTCCTCCAGAATGATATCGGCACTCCTTATCCGTTCCTCCAGAATGATATTGGCACTCCTTATCCGTTCCTCCAGAATGATATTGGCACTCCTTATCCGTTCCTCCAGAATGATATTGGCACTCCTCATCCGTTCCTCCAGAATGATATTGGCACTCCTTATCCGTTCCTCCAGAATGATATTGGCACTCCTTATCCGTTCCTCCAGAATGATATTGGCACTCCTTATCCGTTCCTCCAGAATGATATTGGCACTCCTTATCCGTTCCTCCAGAATGATATTGGCACTCCTCATCCGTTCCTCCAGAATGATATTGGCACTCCTTATCCGTTCCTCCAGAATGATATTGGCACTCCTTATCCGTTCCTCCAGAATGATATCGGCACTCCTTATCCGTTCCTCCAGAATGATATTGGCACTCCTTATCCGTTCCTCCAGAATGATATTGGCACTCCTTATCCGTTCCTCCAGAATGATATTGGCACTCCTTATCCGTTCCTCCAGAATGATATTGGCACTCCTTATCCGTTCCTCCAGAATGATATTGGCACTCCTTATCCGTTCCTCCAGAATGATATTGGCACTCCTTATCCGTTCCTCCAGAATGATATTGGCACTCCTTATCCGTTCCTCCAGAATGATATTGGCACTCCTTATCCGTTCCTCCAGAATGATATCGGCACTCCTTATCCGTTCCTCCAGAATGATATTGGCACTCCTTATCCGTTCCTCCAGAATGATATCGGCACTCCTTATCCGTTCCTCCAGAATGATATCGGCACTCCTTATCCGTTCCTCCAGAATGATATCGGCACTCCTTATCCGTTCCTCCAGAATGATATTGGCACTCCTTATCCGTTCCTCCAGAATGATATTGGCACTCCTTATCCGTTCCTCCAGAATGATATTGGCACTCCTTATCCGTTCCTCCAGAATGATATCGGCACTCCTTATCCGTTCCTCCAGAATGATATCGGCACTCCTTATCCGTTCCTCCAGAATGATATCGGCATACTCTTATCCGTTCCTCCAGAATGATATTGGCACTCCTTATCCGTTCCTCCAGAATGATATTGGCACTCCTTATCCGTTCCTCCAGAATGATATTGGCACTCCTCATCCGTTCCTCCAGAATGATATTGGCACTCCTTATCCGTTCCTCCAGAATGATATTGGCACTCCTTATCCGTTCCTCCAGAATGATATCGGCACTCCTTATCCGTTCCTCCAGAATGATATTGGCACTCCTTATCCGTTCCTCCAGAATGATATTGGCACTCCTTATCCGTTCCTCCAGAATGATATCGGCACTCCTTATCCGTTCCTCCAGAATGATATTGGCACTCCTTATCCGTTCTCCCAGAATGATATCGGCACTCCTTATCCGTTCCTCCAGAATGATATTGGCACTCCTTATCCGTTCCTCCAGAATGATATCGGCACTCCTTATCCGTTCCTCCAGAATGATATTGGCACTCCTTATCCGTTCCTCCAGAATGATATCGGCACTCCTTATCCGTTCCTCCAGAATGATATGGCACCTCCTATCCGTTCCTCCAGAATGATATTGGCACTCCTCATCCGTTCCTCCAGAATGATATCGGCACTCCTTATCCGTTCCTCCAGAATGATATTGGCACTCCTTATCCGTTCCTCCAGAATGATATTGGCACTCCTTATCCGTTCCTCCAGAATGATATTGGCACTCCTCATCCGTTCCTCCAGAATGATATTGGCACTCCTTATCCGTTCCTCCAGAATGATATTGGCACTCCTTATCCGTTCCTCCAGAATGATATCGGCACTCCTTATCCGTTCCTCCAGAATGATATTGGCACTCCTCATCCGTTCCTCCAGAATGATATTGGCACTCCTTATCCGTTCCTCCAGAATGATATCGACACTCCTTATCCGTTCCTCCAGAATGATATTGGCACTCCTTATCCGTTCCTCCAGAATGATATCGGCACTCCTTATCCGTTCCTCCAGAATGATATTGGCACTCCTCATCCGTTCCTCCAGAATGATATTGGCACTCCTCATCCGTTCCTCCAGAATGATATCGACACTCCTTATCCGTTCCTCCAGAATGATATTGGCACTCCTTATCCGTTCCTCCAGAATGATATTGGCACTCCTTATCCGTTCCTCCAGAATGATATTGGCACTCCTCATCCGTTCCTCCAGAATGATATTGGCACTCCTTATCCGTTCCTCCAGAATGATATTGGCACTCCTCATCCGTTCCTCCAGAATGATATCGGCACTCCTTATCCGTTCCTCCAGAATGATATTGGCACTCCTTATCCGTTCCTCCAGAATGATATTGGCACTCCTTATCCGTTCCTCCAGAATGATATTGGCACTCCTTATCCGTTCCTCCAGAATGATATTGGCACTCCTTATCCGTTCCTCCAGAATGATATTGGCACTCCTTATCCGTTCCTCCAGAATGATATCGGCACTCCTTATCCGTTCCTCCAGAATGATATTGGCACTCCTTATCCGTTCCTCCAGAATGATATTGGCACTCCTTATCCGTTCCTCCAGAATGATATCGGCACTCCTTATCCGTTCCTCCAGAATGATATCGGCACTCCTTATCCGTTCCTCCAGAATGATATTGGCACTCCTTATCCGTTCCTCCAGAATGATATTGGCACTCCTTATCCGTTCCTCCAGAATGATATTGGCACTCCTTATCCGTTCCTCCAGAATGATATCGGCACTCCTTATCCGTTCCTCCAGAATGATATCGGCACTCCTTATCCGTTCCTCCAGAATGATATTGGCACTCCTTATCCGTTCCTCCAGAATCATATTGGCACTCCTTATCCGTTCCTCCAGAATGATATTGGCACTCCTTATTCCCTGATCCGTTATCCTCAGAATGATATCGGCACTCCTTATCCGTTCCTCCAGAATCATATCGGCACTCCTTATCCGTTCCTCCAGAATGATATTGGCACTCCTCATCCGTTCCTCCAGAATGATATTGGCACTCCTTATCCGTTCCTCCAGAATGATATTGGCACTCCTCATCCGTTCCTCCAGAATGATATCGGCACTCCTTATCCGTTCCTCCAGAATGATATCGGCACTCCTTATCCGTTCCTCCAGAATGATATTGGCACTCCTTATCCGTTCCTCCAGAATGATATTGGCACTCCTTATCCGTTCCTCCAGAATGATATTGGCACTCCTTATCCGTTCCTCCAGAATGATATTGGCACTCCTCATCCGTTCCTCCAGAATGATATTGGCACTCCTTATCCGTTCCTCCAGAATGATATTGGCACTCCTTATCCGTTCCTCCAGAATGATATTGGCACTCCTTATCCGTTCCTCCAGAATGATATCGGCACTCCTTATCCGTTCCTCCAGAATGATATTGGCACTCCTTATCCGTTCCTCCAGAATGATATTGGCACTCCTTATCCGTTCCTCCAGAATGATATCGGCACTCCTTATCCGTTCCTCCAGAATGATATCGGCACTCCTTATCCGTTCCTCCAGAATGATATTGGCACTCCTTATCCGTTCCTCCAGAATGATATTGGCACTCCTTATCCGTTCCTCCAGAATGATATTGGCACTCCTTATCCGTTCCTCCAGAATGATATCGGCACTCCTTATCCGTTCCTCCAGAATGATATCGGCACTCCTTATCCGTTCCTCCAGAATGATATTGGCACTCCTTATCCGTTCCTCCAGAATGATATTGGCACTCCTCATCCGTTCCTCCAGAATGATATCGGCACTCCTTATCCGTTCCTCCAGAATGATATTGGCACTCCTTATCCGTTCCTCCAGAATGATATTGGCACTCCTTATCCGTTCCTCCAGAATGATATTGGCACTCCTTATCCGTTCCTCCAGAATGATATCGGCACTCCTCATCCGTTCCTCCAGAATGATATTGGCACTCCTCATCCGTTCCTCCAGAATGATATTGGCACTCCTTATCCGTTCCTCCAGAATGATATCGGCACTCCTTATCCGTTCCTCCAGAATGATATCGACACTCCTTATCCGTTCCTCCAGAATGATATCGGCACTCCTTATCCGTTCCTCCAGAATGATATTGGCACTCCTCATCCGTTCCTCCAGAATGATATTGGCACTCCTCATCCGTTCCTCCAGAATGATATCGGCACTCCTTATCCGTTCCTCCAGAATGATATCGGCACTCCTTATCCGTTCCTCCAGAATGATATCGGCACTCCTTATCCGTTCCTCCAGAATGATATTGGCACTCCTTATCCGTTCCTCCAGAATGATATTGGCACTCCTTATCCGTTCCTCCAGAATGATATTGGCACTCCTTATCCGTTCCTCCAGAATGATATTGGCACTCCTTATCCGTTCCTCCAGAATGATATTGGCACTCCTTATCCGTTCCTCCAGAATGATATTGGCACTCCTTATCCGTTCCTCCAGAATGATATTGGCACTCCTCATCCGTTCCTCCAGAATGATAATTGCACATCCTTATCCGTTCCTCCAGAATGATATTGGCACTCCTTATCCGTTCCTCCAGAATGATATTGGCACTCCTTATCCGTTCCTCCAGAATGATATTGGCACTCCTTATCCGTTCCTCCAGAATGATATTGGCACTCCTCATCCGTTCCTCCAGAATGATATTGGCACTCCTTATCCGTTCCTCCAGAATGATATTGGCACTCCTTATCCGTTCCTCCAGATCATATCGGCACTCCTTATCCGTTCCTCCAGAATGATATTGGCACTCCTCATCCGTTCCTCCAGAATGATATTGGCACTCCTTATCCGTTCCTCCAGAATGATATCGGCACTCCTTATCCGTTCCTCCAGAATGATATCGGCACTCCTTATCCGTTCCTCCAGAATGATATTGGCACTCCTTATCCGTTCCTCCAGAATGATATTGGCACTCCTTATCCGTTCCTCCAGAATGATATTGGCACTCCTTATCCGTTCCTCCAGAATGATATCGGCACTCCTTATCCGTTCCTCCAGAATGATATCGGCACTCCTTATCCGTTCCTCCAGAATGATATTGGCACTCCTTATCCGTTCCTCCAGAATGATATTGGCACTCCTTATCCGTTCCTCCAGAATGATATCGGCACTCCTTATCCGTTCCTCCAGAATGATATCGGCACTCCTTATCCGTTCCTCCAGAATGATATCGGCACTCCTCATCCGTTCCTCCAGAATGATCAGAATCCTTCCGTCTCCGCATATCGCCAATCCTTATCCGTTCCTCCAGAATGATATTGGCACTCCTTATCCGTTCCTCCAGAATGATATTGGCACTCCTCATCCGTTCCTCCAGAATGATATCGGCACTCCTTATCCGTTCCTCCAGAATGATATCGGCACTCCTTATCCGTTCCTCCAGAATGATATTGGCACTCCTCATCCGTTCCTCCAGAATGATATTGGCACTCCTTATCCGTTCCTCCAGAATGATATTGGCACTCCTTATCCGTTCCTCCAGAATGATATTGGCACTCCTTATCCGTTCCTCCAGAATGATATTGGCACTCCTTATCCGTTCCTCCAGAATGATATTGGCACTCCTTATCCGTTCCTCCAGAATGATATTGGCACTCCTTATCCGTTCCTCCATATCATATCGGCACTCCTTATCCGTTCCTCCAGAATCATATTGGCACTCCTCATCCGTTCCTCCAGAATGATATTGGCACTCCTTATCCGTTCCTCCAGAATGATATCGGCACTCCTTATCCGTTCCTCCAGAATGATATCGGCACTCCTTATCCGTTCCTCCAGAATGATATTGGCACTCCTTATCCGTTCCTCCAGAATGATATTGGCACTCCTTATCCGTTCCTCCAGAATGATATTGGCACTCCTTATCCGTTCCTCCAGAATGATATCGACACTCCTTATCCGTTCCTCCAGAATGATATCGGCACTCCTTATCCGTTCCTCCAGAATGATATTGGCACTCCTTATCCGTTCCTCCAGAATGATATTGGCACTCCTCATCCGTTCCTCCAGAATGATATCGGCACTCCTTATCCGTTCCTCCAGAATGATATTGGCACTCCTTATCCGTTCCTCCAGAATGATATCGACACTCCTTATCCGTTCCTCCAGAATGATATCGGCACTCCTTATCCGTTCCTCCAGAATGATATTGGCACTCCTTATCCGTTCCTCCAGAATGATATTGGCACTCCTTATCCGTTCCTCCAGAATGATATTGGCACTCCTCATCCGTTCCTCCAGAATGATATTGGCACTCCTTATCCGTTCCTCCAGAATGATATCGACACTCCTTATCCGTTCCTCCAGAATGATATCGGCACTCCTTATCCGTTCCTCCAGAATGATATTGGCACTCCTTATCCGTTCCTCCAGAATCATATTGGCACTCCTTATCCGTTCCTCCAGAATGATATTGGCACTCCTTATCCGTTCCTCCAGAATGATATCGGCACTCCTTATCCGTTCCTCCAGAATGATATCGGCACTCCTTATCCGTTCCTCCAGAATGATATTGGCACTCCTCATCCGTTCCTCCAGAATGATATTGGCACTCCTTATCCGTTCCTCCAGAATGATATTGGCACTCCTCATCCGTTCCTCCAGAATGATATCGGCACTCCTTATCCGTTCCTCCAGAATGATATCGGCACTCCTTATCCGTTCCTCCAGAATGATATTGGCACTCCTTATCCGTTCCTCCAGAATGATATTGGCACTCCTTATCCGTTCCTCCAGAATGATATTGGCACTCCTCATCCGTTCCTCCAGAATGATATTGGCACTCCTTATCCGTTCCTCCAGAATGATATTGGCACTCCTTATCCGTTCCTCCAGAATGATATTGGCACTCCTCATCCGTTCCTCCAGAATGATATTGGCACTCCTTATCCGTTCCTCCAGAATGATATTGGCACTCCTTATCCGTTCCTCCAGAATGATATTGGCACTCCTTATCCGTTCCTCCAGAATGATATCGGCACTCCTTATCCGTTCCTCCAGAATGATATTGGCACTCCTTATCCGTTCCTCCAGAATGATATTGGCACTCCTTATCCGTTCCTCCAGAATGATATCGGCACTCCTTATCCGTTCCTCCAGAATGATATTGGCACTCCTTATCCGTTCCTCCAGAATGATATTGGCACTCCTTATCCGTTCCTCCAGAATGATATTGGCACTCCTTATCCGTTCCTCCAGAATGATATTGGCACTCCTTATCCGTTCCTCCAGAATGATATCGACACTCCTTATCCGTTCCTCCAGAATGATATCGGCACTCCTTATCCGTTCCTCCAGAATGATATTGGCACTCCTCATCCGTTCCTCCAGAATGATATCGACACTCCAGAATGATATTGGCACTCCTTATCCGTTCCTCCAGAATGATATTGGCACTCCTTATCCGTTCCTCCAGAATGATATTGGCACTCCTCATCCGTTCCTCCAGAATGATATTGGCACTCCTTATCCGTTCCTCCAGAATGATATTGGCACTCCTTATCCGTTCCTCCAGAATGATATTGGCACTCCTTATCCGTTCCTCCAGAATGATATCGGCACTCCTTATCCGTTCCTCCAGAATGATATTGGCACTCCTTATCCGTTCCTCCAGAATGATATTGGCACTCCTTATCCGTTCCTCCAGAATGATATCGGCACTCCTTATCCGTTCCTCCAGAATGATATCGGCACTCCTTATCCGTTCCTCCAGAATGATATTGGCACTCCTTATCCGTTCCTCCAGAATGATATTGGCACTCCTTATCCGTTCCTCCAGAATGATATTGGCACTCCTTATCCGTTCCTCCAGAATGATATCGACACTCCTTATCCGTTCCTCCAGAATGATATCGGCACTCCTTATCCGTTCCTCCAGAATGATATTGGCACTCCTTATCCGTTCCTCCAGAATGATATTGGCACTCCTCATCCGTTCCTCCAGAATGATATCGGCACTCCTTATCCGTTCCTCCAGAATGATATTGGCACTCCTTATCCGTTCCTCCAGAATGATATTGGCACTCCTTATCCGTTCCTCCAGAATGATATTGGCACTCCTTATCCGTTCCTCCAGAATGATATCGACACTCCTTATCCGTTCCTCCAGAATGATATCGGCACTCCTTATCCGTTCCTCCAGAATGATATTGGCACTCCTTATCCGTTCCTCCAGAATGATATTGGCACTCCTTATCCGTTCCTCCAGAATGATATCGGCACTCCTTATCCGTTCCTCCAGAATGATATCGGCACTCCTTATCCGTTCCTCCAGAATGATATCGGCACTCCTTATCCGTTCCTCCAGAATGATATTGGCACTCCTTATCCGTTCCTCCAGAATGATATTGGCACTCCTCATCCGTTCCTCCAGAATGATATCGGCACTCCTTATCCGTTCCTCCAGAATGATATCGGCACTCCTTATCCGTTCCTCCAGAATGATATTGGCACTCCTTATCCGTTCCTCCAGAATGATATTGGCACTCCTTATCCGTTCCTCCAGAATGATATTGGCACTCTCCTATCCGTTCCTCCAGAATGATATCGGCACTCCTTATCCGTTCCTCCAGAATGATATTGGCACTCCTTATCCGTTCCTCCAGAATGATATTGGCACTCCTTATCCGTTCCTCCAGAATGATATTGGCACTCCTCTATCCTTTCCTCCAGAATGATATTGGCACTCCTTATCCGTTCCTCCAGAATGATATCGGCACTCCTTATCCGTTCCTCCAGAATGATATCGACACTCCTTATCCGTTCCTCCAGAATGATATCGGCACTCCTTATCCGTTCCTCCAGAATGATATTGGCACTCCTTATCCGTTCCTCCAGAATGATATTGGCACTCCTTATCCGTTCCTCCAGAATGATATTGGCACTCCTCATCCGTTCCTCCAGAATGATATCGGCACTCCTTATCCGTTCCTCCAGAATGATATTGGCACTCCTCATCCGTTCCTCCAGAATGATATTGGCACTCCTTATCCGTTCCTCCAGAATGATATTGGCACTCCTTATCCGTTCCTCCAGAATGATATCGGCACTCCTTATCCGTTCCTCCAGAATGATATCGGCACTCCTTATCCGTTCCTCCAGAATGATATTGGCACTCCTTATCCGTTCCTCCAGAATGATATTGGCACTCCTTATCCGTTCCTCCAGAATGATATTGGCACTCCTTATCCGTTCCTCCAGAATGATATTGGCACTCCTTATCCGTTCCTCCAGAATGATATTGGCACTCCTTATCCGTTCCTCCAGAATGATATTGGCACTCCTTATCCGTTCCTCCAGAATGATATTGGCACTCCTTATCCGTTCCTCCAGAATGATATCGGCACTCCTTATCCGTTCCTCCAGAATGATATTGGCACTCCTTATCCGTTCCTCCAGAATGATATTGGCACTCCTTATCCGTTCCTCCAGAATGATATTGGCACTCCTCATCCGTTCCTCCAGAATGATATTGGCACTCCTTATCCGTTCCTCCAGAATGATATTGGCACTCCTTATCCGTTCCTCCAGAATGATATCGGCACTCCTTATCCGTTCCTCCAGAATGATATTGGCACTCCTTATCCGTTCCTCCAGAATGATATTGGCACTCCTTATCCGTTCCTCCAGAATGATATTGGCACTCCTTATCCGTTCCTCCAGAATGATATTGGCACTCCTCATCCGTTCCTCCAGAATGATATCGGCACTCCTCATCCGTTCCTCCAGAATGATATTGGCACTCCTTATCCGTTCCTCCAGAATGATATTGGCACTCCTTATCCGTTCCTCCAGAATGATATTGGCACTCCTTATCCGTTCCTCCAGAATGATATCGACACTCCTTATCCGTTCCTCCAGAATGATATTGGCACTCCTTATCCGTTCCTCCAGAATGATATTGGCACTCCTTATCCGTTCCTCCAGAATGATATCGGCACTCCTTATCCGTTCCTCCAGAATGATATCGGCACTCCTTATCCGTTCCTCCAGAATGATATCGGCACTCCTTATCCGTTCCTCCTTCCTCCAGAATGATATTGGCACTCCTCATCCGTTCCTCCAGAATGATATTGGCACTCCTTATCCGTTCCTCCAGAATGATATCGGCACTCCTTATCCGTTCCTCCAGAATGATATCGGCACTCCTTATCCGTTCCTCCAGAATCATATTGGCACTCCTTATCCTTTCCTCTCCAGAATGATATTGGCACTCCTTATCCGTTCCTCCAGAATGATATTGGCACTCCTTATCCGTTCCTCCAGAATGATATTGGCACTCCTTATCCGTTCCTCCAGAATGATATTGGCACTCCTCATCCGTTCCTCCAGAATGATATTGGCACTCCTTATCCGTTCCTCCAGAATGATATTGGCACTCCTTATCCGTTCCTCCAGAATGATATTGGCACTCCTTATCCGTTCCTCCAGAATGATATCGGCACTCCTTATCCGTTCCTCCAGAATCATATTGGCACTCCTCATCCGTTCCTCCAGAATGATATCGGCACTCCTTATCCGTTCCTCCAGAATGATATCGGCACTCCTTATCCGTTCCTCCAGAATGATATCGGCACTCCTTATCCGTTCCTCCAGAATGATATTGGCACTCCTTATCCGTTCCTCCAGAATGATATTGGCACTCCTTATCCGTTCCTCCAGAATGATATTGGCACTCCTTATCCGTTCCTCCAGAATGATATCGGCACTCCTTATCCGTTCCTCCAGAATGATATCGGCACTCCTTATCCGTTCCTCCAGAATGATATTGGCACTCCTTATCCGTTCCTCCAGAATGATATTGGCACTCCTTATCCGTTCCTCCAGAATGATATTGGCACTCCTTATCCGTTCCTCCAGAATGATATTGGCACTCCTTATCCGTTCCTCCAGAATGATATTGGCACTCCTTATCCGTTCCTCCAGAATGATATTGGCACTCCTCATCCGTTCCTCCAGAATGATATTGGCACTCCTTATCCGTTCCTCCAGAATGATATCGGCACTCCTTATCCGTTCCTCCAGAATGATATCGGCACTCCTTATCCGTTCCTCCAGAATGATATTGGCACTCCTTATCCGTTCCTCCAGAATGATATTGGCACTCCTTATCCGTTCCTCCAGAATGATATTGGCACTCCTTATCCGTTCCTCCAGAATGATATCGGCACTCCTTATCCGTTCCTCCAGAATGATATTGGCACTCCTTATCCGTTCCTCCAGAATGATATTGGCACTCCTTATCCGTTCCTCCAGAATGATATCGGCACTCCTCATCCGTTCCTCCAGAATGATATCGGCACTCCTCATCCGTTCCTCCAGAATGATATCGGCACTCCTCATCCGTTCCTCCAGAATGATATCGGCACTCCTTATCCGTTCCTCCAGAATGATATTGGCACTCCTTATCCGTTCCTCCAGAATGATATCGGCACTCCTTATCCGTTCCTCCAGAATGATATCGGCACTCCTTATCCGTTCCTCCAGAATGATATTGGCACTCCTTATCCGTTCCTCCAGAATGATATTGGCACTCCTTATCCGTTCCTCCAGAATGATATCGGCACTCCTTATCCGTTCCTCCAGAATGATATTGGCACTCCTTATCCGTTCCTCCAGAATGATATCGGCACTCCTTATCCGTTCCTCCAGAATGATATCGGCACTCCTTATCCGTTCCTCCAGAATGATATTGGCACTCCTTATCCGTTCCTCCAGAATGATATTGGCACTCCTTATCCGTTCCTCCAGAATGATATCGGCACTCCTTATCCGTTCCTCCAGAATGATATCGGCACTCCTTATCCGTTCCTCCAGAATGATATCGGCACTCCTTATCCGTTCCTCCAGAATGATATTGGCACTCCTTATCCGTTCCTCCAGAATGATATTGGCACTCCTTATCCGTTCCTCCAGAATGATATTGGCACTCCTTATCCGTTCCTCCAGAATGATATTGGCACTCCTCATCCGTTCCTCCAGAATGATATTGGCACTCCTCATCCGTTCCTCCAGAATGATATTGGCACTCCTTATCCGTTCCTCCAGAATGATATTGGCACTCCCCATATCCGTTCCTCCAGAATGATATTGGCACTCCTTATCCGTTCCTCCAGAATGATATTGGCACTCCTTATCCGTTCCTCCAGAATGATATTGGCACTCCTTATCCGTTCCTCCAGAATGATATCGGCACTCCTTATCCGTTCCTCCAGAATGATATTGGCACTCCTTATCCGTTCCTCCAGAATGATATTGGCACTCCTTATCCGTTCCTCCAGAATGATATCGGCACTCCTTATCCGTTCCTCCAGAATGATATCGGCACTCCTTATCCGTTCCTCCAGAATGATATTGGCACTCCTTATCCGTTCCTCCAGAATGATATTGGCACTCCTTATCCGTTCCTCCAGAATGATATTGGCACTCCTTATCCGTTCCTCCAGAATGATATTGGCACTCCTTATCCGTTCCTCCAGAATGATATCGGCACTCCTTATCCGTTCCTCCAGAATGATATTGGCACTCCTCATCCGTTCCTCCAGAATGATATTGGCACTCCTTATCCGTTCCTCCAGAATGATATCGGCACTCCTTATCCGTTCCTCCAGAATGATATCGGCACTCCTTATCCGTTCCTCCAGAATGATATTGGCACTCCTTATCCGTTCCTCCAGAATGATATTGGCACTCCTTATCCGTTCCTCCAGAATGATATTGGCACTCCTTATCCGTTCCTCCAGAATGATATTGGCACTCCTTATCCGTTCCTCCAGAATGATATCGGCACTCCTTATCCGTTCCTCCAGAATGATATTGGCACTCCTTATCCGTTCCTCCAGAATGATATCGGCACTCCTTATCCGTTCCTCCAGAATGATATCGGCACTCCTCATCCGTTCCTCCAGAATGATATCGGCACTCCTCATCCGTTCCTCCAGAATGATATCGGCACTCCTTATCCGTTCCTCCAGAATGATATCGGCACTCCTTATCCGTTCCTCCAGAATGATATCGGCACTCCTTATCCGTTCCTCCAGAATGATATTGGCACTCCTTATCCGTTCCTCCAGAATGATATCGGCACTCCTTATCCGTTCCTCCAGAATGATATCGGCACTCCTTATCCGTTCCTCCAGAATGATATCGGCACTCCTTATCCGTTCCTCCAGAATGATATTGGCACTCCTTATCCGTTCCTCCAGAATGATATCGGCACTCCTTATCCGTTCCTCCAGAATGATATCGGCACTCCTTATCCGTTCCTCCAGAATGATATTGGCACTCCTTATCCGTTCCTCCAGAATGATATCGGCACTCCTTATCCGTTCCTCCAGAATGATATCGGCACTCCTTATCCGTTCCTCCAGAATGATATCGGCACTCCTTATCCGTTCCTCCAGAATGATATCGGCACTCCTTATCCGTTCCTCCAGAATGATATCGGCACTCCTTATCCGTTCCTCCAGAATGATATCGGCACTCCTTATCCGTTCCTCCAGAATGATATTGGCACTCCTTATCCGTTCCTCCAGAATGATATCGGCACTCCTTATCCGTTCCTCCAGAATGATATTGGCACTCCTTATCCGTTCCTCCAGAATGATATCGGCACTCCTTATCCGTTCCTCCAGAATGATATTGGCACTCCTTATCCGTTCCTCCAGAATGATATCGGCACTCCTTATCCGTTCCTCCAGAATGATATCGGCACTCCTTATCCGTTCCTCCAGAATGATATTGGCACTCCTTATCCGTTCCTCCAGAATGATATCGGCACTCCTTATCCGTTCCTCCAGAATGATATCGGCACTCCTTATCCGTTCCTCCAGAATGATATCGGCACTCCTTATCCGTTCCTCCAGAATGATATTGGCACTCCTCATCCGTTCCTCCAGAATGATATCGGCACTCCTTATCCGTTCCTCCAGAATGATATCGGCACTCCTTATCCGTTCCTCCAGAATGATATTGGCACTCCTTATCCGTTCCTCCAGAATGATATTGGCACTCCTTATCCGTTCCTCCAGAATGATATTGGCACTCCTTATCCGTTCCTCCAGAATGATATCGGCACTCCTTATCCGTTCCTCCAGAATGATATCGGCACTCCTTATATTCTCCTCTATCCGTTCCTCCAGAATGATATTGGCACTCCTTATCCGTTCCTCCAGAATGATATTGGCACTCCTCATCCGTTCCTCCAGAATGATATCGGCACTCCTTATCCGTTCCTCCAGAATGATATTGGCACTCCTTATCCGTTCCTCCAGAATGATATTGGCACTCCTTATCCGTTCCTCCAGAATGATATTGGCACTCCTCATCCGTTCCTCCAGAATGATATCGGCACTCCTCATCCGTTCCTCCAGAATGATATCGGCACTCCTTATCCGTTCCTCCAGAATGATATCGGCACTCCTTATCCGTTCCTCCAGAATGATATTGGCACTCCTTATCCGTTCCTCCAGAATGATATTGGCACTCCTCATCCGTTCCTCCAGAATGATATCGGCACTCCTTATCCGTTCCTCCAGAATGATATTGGCACTCCTCATCCGTTCCTCCAGAATGATATTGGCACTCCTCATCCGTTCCTCCAGAATGATATTGGCACTCCTCATCCGTTCCTCCAGAATGATATTGGCACTCCTTATCCGTTCCTCCAGAATGATATTGGCACTCCTTATCCGTTCCTCCAGAATGATATTGGCACTCCTCATCCGTTCCTCCAGAATGATATTGGCACTCCTCATCCGTTCCTCCAGAATGATATCGGCACTCCTTATCCGTTCCTCCAGAATGATATTGGCACTCCTTATCCGTTCCTCCAGAATGATATCGGCACTCCTTATCCGTTCCTCCAGAATGATATTGGCACTCCTTATCCGTTCCTCCAGATGAAATCGGCACTCCTTATCCGTTCCTCCAGAATGATATTGGCACTCCTCATCCGTTCCTCCAGAATGATATTGGCACTCCTTATCCGTTCCTCCAGAATGATATCGACACTCCTTATCCGTTCCTCCAGAATGATATCGGCACTCCTTATCCGTTCCTCCAGAATCATATTGGCACTCCTTATCCGTTCCTCCAGAATGATATTGGCACTCCTTATCCGTTCCTCCAGAATGATATTGGCACTCCTTATCCGTTCCTCCAGAATGATATTGGCACTCCTTATCCGTTCCTCCAGAATGATATTGGCACTCCTCATCCGTTCCTCCAGAATGATATTGGCACTCCTCATCCGTTCCTCCAGAATGATATTGGCACTCCTTATCCGTTCCTCCAGAATGATATTGGCACTCCTTATCCGTTCCTCCAGAATGATATCGGCACTCCTTATCCGTTCCTCCAGAATGATATTGGCACTCCTCATCCGTTCCTCCAGAATGATATCGGCACTCCTTATCCGTTCCTCCAGAATGATATCGGCACTCCTTATCCGTTCCTCCAGAATGATATTGGCACTCCTTATCCGTTCCTCCAGAATGATATTGGCACTCCTTATCCGTTCCTCCAGAATGATATCGGCACTCCTTATCCGTTCCTCCAGAATGATATCGGCACTCCTTATCCGTTCCTCCAGAATGATATTGGCACTCCTTATCCGTTCCTCCAGAATGATATTGGCACTCCTTATCCGTTCCTCCAGAATGATATTGGCACTCCTTATCCGTTCCTCCAGAATGATATCGGCACTCCTTATCCGTTCCTCCAGAATGATATCGACACTCCTTATCCGTTCCTCCAGAATGATATCGGCACTCCTTATCCGTTCCTCCAGAATGATATTGGCACTCCTCATCCGTTCCTCCAGAATGATATTGGCACTCCTTATCCGTTCCTCCAGAATGATATCGACACTCCTTATCCGTTCCTCCAGAATGATATCGGCACTCCTTATCCGTTCCTCCAGAATGATATTGGCACTCCTCATCCGTTCCTCCAGAATGATATTGGCACTCCTCATCCGTTCCTCCAGAATGATATCGGCACTCCTTATCCGTTCCTCCAGAATGATATCGGCACTCCTTATCCGTTCCTCCAGAATGATATTGGCACTCCTCATCCGTTCCTCCAGAATGATATTGGCACTCCTTATCCGTTCCTCCAGAATGATATCGGCACTCCTTATCCGTTCCTCCAGAATGATATCGGCACTCCTCATCCGTTCCTCCAGAATGATATTGGCACTCCTTATCCGTTCCTCCAGAATGATATTGGCACTCCTTATCCGTTCCTCCAGAATGATATCGGCACTCCTCATCCGTTCCTCCAGAATGATATTGGCACTCCTTATCCGTTCCTCCAGAATGATATCGGCACTCCTTATCCGTTCCTCCAGAATGATATCGGCACTCCTTATCCGTTCCTCCAGAATGATATTGGCACTCCTCATCCGTTCCTCCAGAATGATATTGGCACTCCTTATCCGTTCCTATCCGTTCCTCCGAATGATATCGACACTCCTTATCCGTTCCTCCAGAATGATATCGGCACTCCTTATCCGTTCCTCCAGAATGATATTGGCACTCCTTATCCGTTCCTCCAGAATGATATTGGCACTCCTCATCCGTTCCTCCAGAATGATATCGGCACTCCTTATCCGTTCCTCCAGAATGATATTGGCACTCCTTATCCGTTCCTCCAGAATGATATTGGCACTCCTTATCCGTTCCTCCAGAATGATATTGGCACTCCTCATCCGTTCCTCCAGAATGATATTGGCACTCCTTATCCGTTCCTCCAGAATGATATCGGCACTCCTTATCCGTTCCTCCAGAATGATATCGACACTCCTTATCCGTTCCTCCAGAATGATATCGGCACTCCTCATCCGTTCCTCCAGAATGATATTGGCACTCCTTATCCGTTCCTCCAGAATGATATTGGCACTCCTCATCCGTTCCTCCAGAATGATATTGGCACTCCTCATCCGTTCCTCCAGAATGATATCGGCACTCCTCATCCGTTCCTCCAGAATGATATTGGCACTCCTCATCCGTTCCTCCAGAATGATATTGGCACTCCTTATCCGTTCCTCCAGAATGATATCGACACTCCTTATCCGTTCCTCCAGAATGATATCGGCACTCCTTATCCGTTCCTCCAGAATGATATTGGCACTCCTTATCCGTTCCTCCAGAATGATATTGGCACTCCTCATCCGTTCCTCCAGAATGATATCGGCACTCCTTATCCGTTCCTCCAGAATGATATTGGCACTCCTCATCCGTTCCTCCAGAATGATATTGGCACTCCTTATCCGTTCCTCCAGAATGATATTGGCACTCCTTATCCGTTCCTCCAGAATGATATTGGCACTCCTCATCCGTTCCTCCAGAATGATATTGGCACTCCTTATCCGTTCCTCCAGAATGATATTGGCACTCCTTATCCGTTCCTCCAGAATGATATTGGCACTCCTCATCCGTTCCTCCAGAATGATATTGGCACTCCTCATCCGTTCCTCCAGAATGATATCGGCACTCCTTATCCGTTCCTCCAGAATGATATTGGCACTCCTTATCCGTTCCTCCAGAATGATATTGGCACTCCTTATCCGTTCCTCCAGAATGATATTGGCACTCCTTATCCGTTCCTCCAGAATGATATTGGCACTCCTCATCCGTTCCTCCAGAATGATATTGGCACTCCTCATCCGTTCCTCCAGAATGATATCGGCACTCCTTATCCGTTCCTCCAGAATGATATTGGCACTCCTTATCCGTTCCTCCAGAATGATATTGGCACTCCTCATCCGTTCCTCCAGAATGATATTGGCACTCCTTATCCGTTCCTCCAGAATGATATTGGCACTCCTCATCCGTTCCTCCAGAATGATATCGGCACTCCTCATCCGTTCCTCCAGAATGATATTGGCACTCCTTATCCGTTCCTCCAGAATGATATTGGCACTCCTCATCCGTTCCTCCAGAATGATATTGGCACTCCTTATCCGTTCCTCCAGAATCATATCGGCACTCCTTATCCGTTCCTCCAGAATCATATTGGCACTCCTCATCCGTTCCTCCAGAATGATATTGGCACTCCTTATCCGTTCCTCCAGAATGATATCGGCACTCCTTATCCGTTCCTCCAGAATGATATCGGCACTCCTTATCCGTTCCTCCAGAATGATATCGGCACTCCTTATCCGTTCCTCCAGAATGATATTGGCACTCCTCATCCGTTCCTCCAGAATGATATTGGCACTCCTTATCCGTTCCTCCAGAATGATATCGACACTCCTTATCCGTTCCTCCAGAATGATATCGGCACTCCTTATCCGTTCCTCCAGAATCATATTGGCACTCCTTATCCGTTCCTCCAGAATGATATTGGCACTCCTTATCCGTTCCTCCAGAATGATATTGGCACTCCTTATCCGTTCCTCCAGAATGATATTGGCACTCCTTATCCGTTCCTCCAGAATGATATTGGCACTCCTCATCCGTTCCTCCAGAATGATATTGGCACTCCTTATCCGTTCCTCCAGAATGATATTGGCACTCCTTATCCGTTCCTCCAGAATCATATTGGCACTCCTTATCCGTTCCTCCAGAATCATATCGGCACTCCTTATCCGTTCCTCCAGAATCATATTGGCACTCCTCATCCATTCCTCCAGAATGATATCGGCACTCCTTATCCGTTCCTCCAGAATGATATCGGCACTCCTTATCCGTTCCTCCAGAATGATATCGGCACTCCTTATCCGTTCCTCCAGAATGATATTGGCACTCCTTATCCGTTCCTCCAGAATGATATTGGCACTCCTTATCCGTTCCTCCAGAATGATATCGGCACTCCTTATCCGTTCCTCCAGAATGATATCGACACTCCTTATCCGTTCCTCCAGAATGATATCGGCACTCCTTATCCGTTCCTCCAGAATCATATTGGCACTCCTTATCCGTTCCTCCAGAATGATATTGGCACTCCTTATCCGTTCCTCCAGAATGATATTGGCACTCCTTATCCGTTCCTCCAGAATGATATTGGCACTCCTTATCCGTTCCTCCAGAATGATATCGGCACTCCTTATCCGTTCCTCCAGAATGATATTGGCACTCCTCATCCGTTCCTCCAGAATGATATTGGCACTCCTTATCCGTTCCTCCAGAATGATATCGACACTCCTTATCCGTTCCTCCAGAATGATATCGGCACTCCTTATCCGTTCCTCCAGAATGATATTGGCACTCCTTATCCGTTCCTCCAGAATGATATTGGCACTCCTTATCCGTTCCTCCAGAATGATATCGACACTCCTTATCCGTTCCTCCAGAATGATATCGGCACTCCTTATCCGTTCCTCCAGAATGATATTGGCACTCCTTATCCGTTCCTCCAGAATGATATTGGCACTCCTTATCCGTTCCTCCAGAATGATATTGGCACTCCTTATCCGTTCCTCCAGAATGATATCGGCACTCCTTATCCGTTCCTCCAGAATGATATCGGCACTCCTTATCCGTTCCTCCAGAATGATATTGGCACTCCTTATCCGTTCCTCCAGAATGATATCGGCACTCCTTATCCGTTCCTCCAGAATGATATCGGCACTCCTCATCCGTTCCTCCAGAATGATATCGGCACTCCTTATCCGTTCCTCCAGAATGATATTGGCACTCCTTATCCGTTCCTCCAGAATGATATTGGCACTCCTTATCCGTTCCTCCAGAATGATATCGGCACTCCTTATCCGTTCCTCCAGAATGATATCGGCACTCCTTATCCGTTCCTCCAGAATGATATTGGCACTCCTTATCCGTTCCTCCAGAATGATATTGGCACTCCTTATCCGTTCCTCCAGAATGATATCGGCACTCCTTATCCGTTCCTCCAGAATGATATTGGCACTCCTTATCCGTTCCTCCAGAATGATATCGGCACTCCTTATCCGTTCCTCCAGAATGATATCGGCACTCCTTATCCGTTCCTCCAGAATGATATTGGCACTCCTTATCCGTTCCTCCAGAATGATATTGGCACTCCTTATCCGTTCCTCCAGAATGATATCGACACTCCTTATCCGTTCCTCCAGAATGATATCGGCACTCCTTATCCGTTCCTCCAGAATGATATTGGCACTCCTTATCCGTTCCTCCAGAATCATATTGGCACTCCTTATCCGTTCCTCCAGAATGATATTGGCACTCCTTATCCGTTCCTCCAGAATGATATTGGCACTCCTTATCCGTTCCTCCAGAATGATATTGGCACTCCTTATCCGTTCCTCCAGAATGATATCGGCACTCCTTATCCGTTCCTCCAGAATGATATTGGCACTCCTTATCCGTTCCTCCAGAATGATATTGGCACTCCTTATCCGTTCCTCCAGAATGATATCGACACTCCTTATCCGTTCCTCCAGAATGATATCGGCACTCCTTATCCGTTCCTCCAGAATGATATTGGCACTCCTTATCCGTTCCTCCAGAATGATATTGGCACTCCTTATCCGTTCCTCCAGAATGATATTGGCACTCCTTATCCGTTCCTCCAGAATGATATCGGCACTCCTTATCCGTTCCTCCAGAATGATATCGGCACTCCTTATCCGTTCCTCCAGAATGATATTGGCACTCCTTATCCGTTCCTCCAGAATGATATCGGCACTCCTTATCCGTTCCTCCAGAATGATATCGGCACTCCTCATCCGTTCCTCCAGAATGATATCGGCACTCCTTATCCGTTCCTCCAGAATGATATTGGCACTCCTTATCCGTTCCTCCAGAATGATATCGGCACTCCTTATCCGTTCCTCCAGAATGATATCGGCACTCCTTATCCGTTCCTCCAGAATGATATTGGCACTCCTTATCCGTTCCTCCAGAATGATATCGGCACTCCTTATCCGTTCCTCCAGAATGATATCGGCACTCCTTATCCGTTCCTCCAGAATGATATTGGCACTCCTTATCCGTTCCTCCAGAATGATATCGGCACTCCTTATCCGTTCCTCCAGAATGATATCGGCACTCCTTATCCGTTCCTCCAGAATGATATCGGCACTCCTTATCCGTTCCTCCAGAATGATATTGGCACTCCTTATCCGTTCCTCCAGAATGATATCGGCACTCCTTATCCGTTCCTCCAGAATGATATCGGCACTCCTTATCCGTTCCTCCAGAATGATATTGGCACTCCTTATCCGTTCCTCCAGAATGATATCGGCACTCCTTATCCGTTCCTCCAGAATGATATTGGCACTCCTTATCCGTTCCTCCAGAATGATATCGGCACTCCTTATCCGTTCCTCCAGAATGATATCGGCACTCCTTATCCGTTCCTCCAGAATGATATTGGCACTCCTTATCCGTTCCTCCAGAATGATATTGGCACTCCTTATCCGTTCCTCCAGAATGATATCGGCACTCCTTATCCGTTCCTCCAGAATGATATCGGCACTCCTTATCCGTTCCTCCAGAATGATATCGGCACTCCTTATCCGTTCCTCCAGAATGATATTGGCACTCCTTATCCGTTCCTCCAGAATGATATCGGCACTCCTTATCCGTTCCTCCAGAATGATATCGGCACTCCTTATCCGTTCCTCCAGAATGATATCGGCACTCCTTATCCGTTCCTCCAGAATGATATCGGCACTCCTTATCCGTTCCTCCAGAATGATATCGGCACTCCTTATCCGTTCCTCCAGAATGATATTGGCACTCCTTATCCGTTCCTCCAGAATGATATTGGCACTCCTTATCCGTTCCTCCAGAATGATATTGGCACTCCTTATCCGTTCCTCCAGAATGATATCGGCACTCCTTATCCGTTCCTCCAGAATGATATTGGCACTCCTTATCCGTTCCTCCAGAATGATATTGGCACTCCTTATCCGTTCCTCCAGAATGATATTGGCACTCCTTATCCGTTCCTCCAGAATGATATCGGCACTCCTTATCCGTTCCTCCAGAATGATATCGGCACTCCTTATCCGTTCCTCCAGAATGATATTGGCACTCCTTATCCGTTCCTCCAGAATGATATTGGCACTCCTTATCCGTTCCTCCAGAATGATATCGGCACTCCTTATCCGTTCCTCCAGAATGATATCGGCACTCCTTATCCGTTCCTCCAGAATGATATTGGCACTCCTTATCCGTTCCTCCAGAATGATATCGGCACTCCTTATCCGTTCCTCCAGAATGATATCGGCACTCCTTATCCGTTCCTCCAGAATGATATCGGCACTCCTTATCCGTTCCTCCAGAATGATATTGGCACTCCTTATCCGTTCCTCCAGAATGATATCGGCACTCCTTATCCGTTCCTCCAGAATGATATCGGCACTCCTTATCCGTTCCTCCAGAATGATATTGGCACTCCTTATCCGTTCCTCCAGAATGATATCGGCACTCCTTATCCGTTCCTCCAGAATGATATCGGCACTCCTTATCCGTTCCTCCAGAATGATATCGGCACTCCTTATCCGTTCCTCCAGAATGATATCGGCACTCCTTATCCGTTCCTCCAGAATGATATCGGCACTCCTTATCCGTTCCTCCAGAATGATATCGGCACTCCTTATCCGTTCCTCCAGAATGATATTGGCACTCCTTATCCGTTCCTCCAGAATGATATCGGCACTCCTTATCCGTTCCTCCAGAATGATATCGGCACTCCTTATCCGTTCCTCCAGAATGATATCGGCACTCCTTATCCGTTCCTCCAGAATGATATCGGCACTCCTTATCCGTTCCTCCAGAATGATATTGGCACTCCTTATCCGTTCCTCCAGAATGATATCGGCACTCCTTATCCGTTCCTCCAGAATGATATCGGCACTCCTTATCCGTTCCTCCAGAATGATATCGGCACTCCTTATCCGTTCCTCCAGAATGATATTGGCACTCCTTATCCGTTCCTCCAGAATGATATTGGCACTCCTTATCCGTTCCTCCAGAATGATATCGGCACTCCTTATCCGTTCCTCCAGAATGATATCGGCACTCCTTATCCGTTCCTCCAGAATGATATTGGCACTCCTTATCCGTTCCTCCAGAATGATATTGGCACTCCTTATCCGTTCCTCCAGAATGATATCGGCACTCCTTATCCGTTCCTCCAGAATGATATCGGCACTCCTTATCCGTTCCTCCAGAATGATATCGGCACTCCTTATCCGTTCCTCCAGAATGATATCGGCACTCCTTATCCGTTCCTCCAGAATGATATTGGCACTCCTTATCCGTTCCTCCAGAATGATATTGGCACTCCTTATCCGTTCCTCCAGAATGATATTGGCACTCCTTATCCGTTCCTCCAGAATGATATCGGCACTATTGGCACTCTTATCCGTTCCTCCAGAATGATATTGGCACTCCTTATCCGTTCCTCCAGAATGATATTGGCACTCTGTGTTGGCCCCATCCTCGCTTGGGCGGAGCCGACTTCCTGGTCGGGTGTAGGGGTGCAGCCGACCTGCAGTAGTGGGCGAGCCGGTCGACGGGGTTGGTCGACCTGCACGGAAGCCACTGCAAGGGCGCCGACTTTGGGAGGGCGCCAACTTCGAGTGGTCGACTTGAGAAGTCGACCTGCAGAGGGCGTCGACTTGGGGGGACGCCGACCTGGGGTAGCCGACTTGGGTGGTCGGCCAACAGGAGTGCTGGTCGACCTGGAGGTGGTCGACAAGGAGTGTCGTCGACCTGGAGTTGGTCGACCAGAGGGCGTGGTCGACCTGGTGAGGTCGACTGGAGGTGGCCGTCGACTTGGGAGGTCGACAGGCACGCACAGGAGCACCTGGTCGACGTGGTTGCCCGGTCGACCAGGTTACCTGGGTGACGAGGGTCTGCGAAGGCACGCGAAGGTCGCCCAGGCGAGGTTGGCAAGGACGACCTCGGTGGTGGTATCCCGAGGTCGACCTGGCAGATGAGATGCAGTCGTCAGCACAAGGTGGACTTGGTGCGTACGCTGTGCAGGTGACGAAGCAGTGCGCGCCAATCATCTACGAGCACCTGCGAAGCTGGTGCGATGCTGGACTGCAGGAGCAACGCTGGCACGCCGTCGACTTGCGCTGTTGTCACACCATCGACCTGCAGCGTTGGCAAGCCGCGTCCCTGCACTGCTGGAGCGCGGTCGACCAAGTCGTGCTGGCACGCGGTCGACCGTGCCGCGCTGGCAGTCGACCTGCTTGCATCCTAGCTCTGATGTAGTCTTTCCTAGCCAACTTCATTGTTTCATTGTTGTCAACTTTCTCTAGTGAAACTCTTGCCAAATTGCCTTGTGAACTAGCAAGCAGGGTGTGCACTAGGAAAACGACTAAGGAACAGAGAACGCAGAGATCACACGAGCATACGTGCCTAGCCCGTAGTCTAGCTCCCGTTACTAGAGTTATCTCCGCACACTCCTCATCCGTTCCTCCAGAATGATATTGGCACTCCTCATCCGTTCCTCCAGAATGATATTGGCACTCCTTATCCGTTCCTCCAGAATGATATTGGCACTCCTTATCCGTTCCTCCAGAATGATATCGGCACTCCTTATCCGTTCCTCCAGAATGATATTGGCACTCCTTATCCGTTCCTCCAGAATGATATCGGCACTCCTTATCCGTTCCTCCAGAATGATATTGGCACTCCTTATCCGTTCCTCCAGAATGATATCGGCACTCCTCATCCGTTCCTCCAGAATGATATTGGCACTCCTTATCCGTTCCTCCAGAATGATATTGGCACTCCTTATCCGTTCCTCCAGAATGATATTGGCACTCCTTATCCGTTCCTCCAGAATGATATTGGCACTCCTTATCCGTTCCTCCAGAATGATATTGGCACTCCTTATCCGTTCCTCCAGAATGATATTGGCACTCCTTATCCGTTCCTCCAGAATGATATCGGCACTCCTTATCCGTTCCTCCAGAATGATATTGGCACTCCTTATCCGTTCCTCCAGAATGATATCGGCACTCCTCATCCGTTCCTCCAGAATGATATTGGCACTCCTTATCCGTTCCTCCAGTACCAGATTGTGCATGCAGCACCTTTTTTCTGATTGCACCATTGCACAGTGCATTGATGTCACTACATGCATGTAGGTAGAACCTATTAGGCATCAGCAAAGTGCCGAGTCATGGCTCAACCCTTGACTTCAATTCAAGCCCAGCAATTTGCATCTCGACCTTTTAATCTCTTCTCTTATACCTTCCAATGATATGAAATGCAGTTACGCTCAACGAAACAGGCTGACTGGGTCAATACAAGAAGGAATTGGCAAGCTACAATATCTTCTTATCTTGTGAGCCTCACGATTCACGAGCTGGATGATAATACTTTGTTTCTTATGAATGTATGGTTTCACTCACCCATACCACATCATTTTTATGAGTGATTGTCCTCTTTCTCACTTCTTCACACACTGACATTTCCTGTTTCTACCTACTTGCTTGTTTATGCATGCTGCCCTTACCTTTCTATCCTTCACCAGGAATCTACACAGCAATCGCTTAACAGGATCCATTCCATCCACTTTTGGCCGCTTGACCAGCCTGACAGATTTGTGAGTAATATTAGAGTGAGTAGTTTTAGAGTTACACACGGTGCTCCAGTCATTTTGAAAATGCGTCTACTTGATACTGATCGACATTACTAAAATGTCGGTCGGGTATACATGAGCCAAAGTTTTGAATAAAAATTCGACTCTTTTTGTAAACTCGACATTGGGTCATCGGAGTAAAGTCGATTCCAGAAATCGTCAAGTATCAATCGACTAAAATCATGAAGTTGTTTTTTGCTCGAATCGAATCGATTCTACTCGACTCTTCTCACCCTTGACTCGAGGAGGCTTCAGCATATGGCCCGGCCGGGTGGGGTCAATCCCAACTCGACCCGGCTGTTTTTCCGGGCTTGGTTGGCAAGGCCGTGATGCCCACCCGGGCGTGTCGGGTCAGTTTTCCCAGTTAGATCAGGTCGAACCGATACCCGACTTCAACATATTATGCCAAGTCGGGCCGATTCGGATATTCCCAGGTCGACCCGACCCATATGCAGGTCGTATAGGTTATTTTGACGCACACGCACACCTGCACTAGTTGGGGGAGTATGTGCTCTGGGCTGAAGGCTGGTGCGAGGATTGGGCTGGGCTCAATAGCGAGTTTTGTAAAACTGTGTGGGTGGGCTGAGTTTTGTAAGAGTGATAAGGGGCGGCAAATTGGTTGAGACATTTTGTTTGAACAATTTCGTTGGAAAAGGAGGGAGTGGCAGGCTTTGCTTGTGGCACGATGTGAGTGCAGTCAAGTCAATGACACGATCGACAGGCAAGATCCCCATTCTGCACAGATCGGCGTGCCCTCTAGAGGCGTGCCCTCTAGAGGCGTGCCCTCTAGAGGCGTGCCCTCTAGAGGCGTGCCCTCTAGAGGCGTGCCCTCTAGAGGCGTGCCCTCTAGAGGCGTGCCCTCTAGAGGCGTGCCCTCTAGAGGCGTGCCCTCTAGAGGCGTGCCCTCTAGAGGCGTGCCCTCTAGAGGCGTGCCCTCTAGAGGCGTGCCCTCTAGAGGCGTGCCCTCTAGAGGCGTGCCCTCTAGAGGCGTGCCCTCTAGAGGCGTGCCCTCTAGAGGCGTGCCCTCTAGAGGCGTGCCCTCTAGAGGCGTGCCCTCTAGAGGCGTGCCCTCTAGAGGCGTGCCCTCTAGAGGCGTGCCCTCTAGAGGCGTGCCCTCTAGAGGCGTGCCCTCTAGAGGCGTGCCCTCTAGAGGCGTGCCCTCTAGAGGCGTGCCCTCTAGAGGCGTGCCCTCTAGAGGCGTGCCCTCTAGAGGCGTGCCCTCTAGAGGCGTGCCCTCTAGAGGCGTGCCCTCTAGAGGCGTGCCCTCTAGAGGCGTGCCCTCTAGATGCGTGCCCTCTAGAGGCGTGTCTCCGAATTTCACCGAATCCGAATATCCCTTTGTCTCGAATGTTCGGGTGCTGCTATGTGGCACCGAACTAGAGGGTCTTCCGATGTCAACCCTCAAACCTTTGCCAACCTGCAGCTCACCCACACGGTGAGCACCGAAACACCTACGGTGGGTTGGGGGCATACAACCGCCCTAACACCGTTTCCCTCCAACAGTTCGGTTCGGGTTGGGTCAGGCCAAATGCTTAACCATACCTGTGACGCCGATCCAGACATGTTGGGTCGGATCGGATCAACCCGTTACCTGCATAATGTGTTTCAGGCCTGGTCGGGGTGACCCAATCCCGATATTTATGTTCCCAATGAAGATCAATCAAACGAACAGCTATGTTACTCTTCGTAAATTCAAAAAGCTTGGCAAATCTCTTCACCTGTATGCTGAGCTCTTCCTTGCATGCCTTTCTCTCATCAGAGCCCTTCACAACAACAGCCTGGATGGAACGATTCCCGACTCCATTACGAGAATTTCCAGCCTGGTGGATTTGTGAGTAGTAACCGTTTTTACATTTACGTCTGAGCCACCCATGGCTTATATTTGAGCTCTGTGCATGTTTTGCCATCAAGTATGCAGTACTTTGATGCATTTTTTCACCCACAAAAATGGGCACAGAACAGAAGGAAAGAGTAGGAAATTGATGGATTGTTTTTTTCGAGGTGTCTGTGTGCACTTGGAATGCTGCATGCTGCCTGTATTGTTTTTTTCCTGTTACAGACAATATTTGGGCTTTGGCATTTCTTCCACCCTCTTCTCCCAACTCAACTGCAGACGCCTTGGTGGAAACAAACTGTTGGGATCGATACCAGGGGCGATTGGCAACCTTACAGCCTTGACTAGACTGTGAGCCTCTTGTTTCAAAGGGCTATTTTTCAGCAACCATCGATCTCGTCGCGCATCACCACTAAGGATATATAGTTTTCGTTGAAAATTTGCTCTTCTTGGATTTGTATACATGACGTTACTTTGTATGGGTTTTCTTGTTTGCTCGTCCTTTGGAAAAAACACTGACCACCATGACATGACGTACATGATCAGGTGGGGTGTTTGAGCAAGCTACTTCGTATACACGACGTTACTTCATATGCTGTTCGAGCATTTAAACTCATTAAGGACTCTCTACAAACTGGGTAGATAGAGAAGAAAGTGTACAAGACAAGTAAAGTTGCATCCAATCTGAATTACTTCGCTTCTTTACAATACTGCAATCCGTTTATGGTTGTCCTGTCAGATCCCTTGCCAACAATAGCCTGAGTGGCACAATCCCTGACTCCATTGGCAACATTCCAACCCTCGCTTCCTTGTGGGTACCTTTTTAGCTTCAAGGGACTTCACTTCATTTTCTACCTGTACACACATGCACGCACACACGCACACACACACACACACCTCTTCACTGCTTGTTAATTCACTTTCAACAAATTTGCAGTACGTGCCAATGTTTAAACTATCTGCGTGCAAATAATGTTTTGCACCTGTACACACTGTCGCTTAATATGACTAGAGTCATGTTATCCGCTGCTTCCATTTTGTTTTTGTGCCTTCACATCATCCCTGTCCTTCCTCACTTTCATGATTATATTCCCTTTGTTCAATTCCTATCGTGTGGGCAGGAACCTCTCGTTGAACTCACTGTCTGGTTCCATGCCAAGCTCGTTCGCGCGCCTTGCGGGATTGGAAATCCTGTATGTTATCAATTGCTATTCAAACATTGTTCCATGCAGTTTCCTGCTTTGGCTTTCTGGATGAATCTAGACACCATTCCGTTTGTTCATTCATTGATGAGTCCTTCTTCTCCACCTCTTGAACCCTGCCAAATGCATGCCTTGTGACGTCCTGTCATCAGAGACCTTGCCAACAACAGCCTGTCAGGCAGCATCCCCCAGCTTATAGGCAGCCTTAACCAACTCTCCAACTTGTGAGTGCTCGTTTCTTAAATGCGACAGCTCTATTCCAACTAGTCTCGTCTGAGCCACAGCAAAATGGCTGCCTTGCCTCATAGGCGTCGTTGCCCATGTCTGGGCGATGGGTGCACTGACCCACCAGTGCAACAGGCCCTTGTACCCCAGTCGCTTACAAATCAGTGTTTCTGACAAAACTGGCAATAGAGATTATTGCATTTAGCTGTGTGCCATGCAGTGTTCTTCTAGCCCTATGAGAGGGATCCCTCAGAGGAATGATCTCTAAGCAGTGACTCCTTCAGGTGTATGTTGTGCTCACTTGCTTTCCCACACACAGGAATGTGAGTGGAACTGGCCTTACCTGCCCTCCTGACAACACCCCATGTGTGGCGCAACAGCAAGCTCAAAGCGCCTTTTGCCGCCAGTGCCCCTCCTTCTGCACCACCTGCGTCAAGACAGCACCTCGTGAGTCAAACCGTTTTGCTCTATCGTCCCTTCCATGCTTTGTCTCTGTACGCAACATCAGCAGTGTTGCTGCTCTTATTGGACTGCGAAATCCACGTTCAGTCGGCACATGTCCCTTCCCCTCCCACGTCCATCCCTTCCCCTCCCACGTCCATCCCTTCCCCTCCCACGTCCATCCCCTCCTCTCCAATATCCATCCCTCCCTTGCCTCAGCAACCCCCTCCCCATCGCCAGGAAGCACCACAGCATCCCCATCCCTCCCAACTGCCTCCCCACCACCGCCCCCCTCGCCTACAACGTCCACCTCCCAGTCTGGCGGTCTGTCAGCAGCAGCCATTGCTGGCATTGTCGTGGCTACTGTGGCTTCCCTGCTGCTGCTGGTGGTTGGGGGGCTGCTATGCTGGCGGAATTACTCAAAAGGGAGAACACAAGAGGAAGCGAGAGCAGATAAGGAAAGCGGGGATGCAGTCCTGCAAGTGAACACGGATTCACAAGGTAAAAATACAGGCCTTCAGATTTTTGCCCTTCCTCTTCCTTCTCATTCATCTACTTTTCCTCAAAAGGTCGCTAGAACACCAAAATCGTCAAACATCCTGTGCTCGTCAAACATTCTCTATTTGAGAAGGTCTAGCGGGCAGTGTGGCGGCGTCGCACTGCACGGAGTACTCTTTGGAGGAAGTGCTCACAGCCACCAGCAACTGGGCGAGTGACAACCAGCTGAGGTCCGGCGCCTTTGGTGACGTGTACAAGGGCGTGTCTCCGCGCGATGGCACCACACTGTGGGCCGTCAAGCGAGCCAAGCTGCTCCATGCTGACTTTCAGCGGGAGGTGCGTGATCATGTGCTGTGCAGCATGGACCTTGCAGGTGAGTAGCCTTTTTTTATCAAAGACACGGAGAAGAAGGCAAGTAAAGCACTGTGGTTTGCTCCATGGTGCTTGTGGGGCTAATTTAGCTCTCTGCCATTTTGAAGGAGATTGTACCATCCATATGGTTCCGACATTTGAGAAAGTAATTTGATCCAAGTTTTCAAGTCCTGGTCTCTCAACCCTTCCTATGATTGGTTGCTCCTCTTGCAGGTCCAGCAAATGGCTGACAAGAACCATCCCCACATCGTTCGGCTGCTCGGGTTTGCTGTTGGAGGGGACATGAGGACACGGCCGGAGCAAGTCTTGATCTATGAGTTTGTTCCAAATGGTGACCTTGAGATGTGGATCAGTGCAGGTATGTAATTCCCCGATGGCTGCCGCTTTCTTTCTTTCATTGCTTTCACCCTGCATGACGGAATGGGTACTCACAAATGCTGTGTCACTCATGTTGTGCTTGCCTAGTTGCAGAAGCGCCCTCTCGCCTCACCTTGAAGCAGCAGCTGGACATCCTCATTGGTGCGGCACGTGGCTTGGAGTATCTCCACAGCTTTGGCCTTGTGCATCGCGACATCAAGCCTGCCAACATCCTCCTCACAGCAGACCTGCAGGCAAGCTCCGTGCAATCGTTGAGCAGATTCTCAACAAGGTCTTGCTTGAGTTTTCAAAAATGCCAGTCAAAGAAAATCGTAGTAGGCAATCCTACTGTGATCATGTTTCAAGGCGCACGATTGGGTACAGGGCGCTTCCAGGGTGTGAGATTGGATGTTACCTACATACAACAGTCACTGAATGGATCTGTGTGTAAAACAGTCGCTAGGTTGTGAATTGAGCCCCTTGGTCCTTTCACATGAAGACTCCATGCTCACTTTCATCTCATGTGCACTTGGTACAAGACTATGAACTTATCAGCATTCTTTCTTTGATGCCTTTCTCCCTTCTTCTTGCTCCTGCCATCCATCAGGCCAAGGTTGCGGATTTTGGACTTGTGAGGGTGGAGGAGGGCACCACCGTGGGCACGACTCGAGTGATGGGAACACCGGGCTATGTGGATCCCATCTACTCACGCACCTCAAAGGCAACTCGGGCCACCGATGTCTACAGGTGAGCTTGCATTCACCACTGCTGATCTAGCTTCTGGTTTTCGAGATGTCGAAATGGTATCCCTGCGTCTCTCGGTGCTGCTTCTTGTGGTGCTGTTTCTCTTGGTGCTGCAAATCTCCAATCACCCATAAATCATGGCCACCCTGTTTGTGTCCATGTGTGATACACCACTCTATTGCTCTCAACATCCCGCCCTCGGTGCAGCTTCGGTGTGCTCATGCTTGTGGTGCTCACAAGGCGAAGCCCATCCGTCTCGGTTGATGGAGAGAGCGTGCCTATTCTGAAATGGGTGAGCCCTATCACAAGAAAAGCATGTGCACAGTGCAAATTGCACATGGCACGACTGTTGCACATGGCAGTGCTAAAGGTACTGGATATTTGAATTTCTTCAGCTCGTTGCCATCCCCACATCTCTCGAACCCTCCACTGGAGGTTGGCCTGCTGCCCCGGACATATGGTAGTTGAGCAGAGTCATCAATAGCCACTCCTCCATCAATAGCCACTCCTCCATCAATAGCCACTCCTCCATCATTAGTCACTCCTCCATCAATAGCCACTCCTCCATCAATAGCCACTCCTCCATCAATGGTCACTCCTCCATCAATAGCCACTCCTCCATTAGTAGCCACTCCTCTATTAGTAGCACAGGGCCACTGTAACAAAAAAACGTTTGCCTCACGTTTAACATGTCATTCCCAGGCTCAAGAGTCTTACCTTCCCCACCGTGTTGAACCAATCAGGTGGAGGCGTGCATCTCCGACACCTCTCCCGACTTGAAGGCCCTGAGCATGGACGCCCCAGATGATGCTGTGCTGCACATGTGTGAGCTGGCTCTCAGCTGCACTGTGGAGCGCACTGCCAGCCGGCCCAGCATGGCAAGCATTGCCAATGAGCTGCAGAACATGAGGAATGAGGTGGTGGGGAGAGAGGAACTGCCTGCAGCAATCAAAGTGGATGCACAAGCCCAAGAGATCAGGGGCTCATTGTCGAAGGATGCTCATCTGCACTTCGTTGACGAACTGCTGCAGGGAAATTCTTTTTAGGACAAGCCATTTGCATGTATGGATCTCTTCTCTAGGCAGATTGTTTGAATAACCCTGACCTTACTTGTTGGCATGTTCCTTTTCTGAAGTATTTTAGGGCCTTTCCCTTCTTACAGTTGACAATATATGACAGGTTCATTCGTAGCTTATCAAACAAATCAGGGCGTGTTCCTATGCCTCGTATCAAGCGAACTCATATCAGGCTCACATTGAAAATTCCCCTAAACCCAAAATTCAACGTTGATTTTACGAGACAAGTGTGATATGAGGTTGCGTGATACGAGGCGTAGGAACCAGGGCTGACGCTATCAGACTATTTAGTCTGATTAGTCTGACGAATCAGACCTTGCACTTTGTGGAAAATGGATTTCCAGAGAAGTCCATTTTTCATCACTGAGTACCTCAGACTTATTGTTTTGGGGCCCCTAATTCCATGTAATAGGCTTCAGACTTAGGGGGCATTCTGAAGTTTGCCCACCATCCAAAGTTTGCCCATACGACTCGAAATGTTGACGTGGCATTAATTCACATTTGAAAGTTTGCCCATGCAGTTTGACGTTTGCCCACTATCATTCCAACCGGCCACGATGGCTACGACTGCTCGGTCCGACAGTGTGCGACAACACCGAACGTGCAATTTTTTCTCTGTTTTGACACTCTGACGTTGAATCGGTTGACTCATGCAAGTCGTCGTCAAAATACATTTAACCCGCTGCCCACGTATTTGTATTCGGTTTTGTTCAAGTGGGAAATCTTTTGAAGAGTCGCGGCCGTCAGGGTTGGCCGTCAGTGTTCTGCGTAACAATTGTCGTCGAACCATGCGTATGCGAGCAAAGGCGCAAATTCCATTGGAGGCGAAGTCACTTCGGCTGGATACTTGATATGCGAAAACTGCGACCCCAGTCGCCCGCCAGAATGAGGTTTGGTGGTCATAGTGGGAGCATTGCCACCAAATTGCCCATTAGCTTTGGAAAAACGGTATGGTGGGCAAACTTTGATGTTGGGCAAACTTGAGACCGCGCTATTAGTCGTTTCTGGAGTCTGACTCTACAGAGTATCTATTCTGTGGTCCCCGAAGCGAGTTTATCAAGACGAAGATTCCTGGAAATTTCCTCCCGATACCCACATTCAAGTTGGCAGAGAGTGCTACCACGCGAGCAAAGTACACTTCACCAGCTGGGGATACCGAATACACCCTATCTGCGACAAAGACACGCATTTTAGATTGTTGCGTGATTGGGGTAACCATTGAAGTTTGAAATAGAAAAGGGCCAAAATGTGTTTAATCGCTCAACGAATCGGAGAACTTTACAGACAATCGAGGGGGGGGGGGGGGGGGTGGGGTGGATATCTCGCCACAAGTAGGATATCAAACTTTTTGGTACTGAAATCGGGTGTTCCCCACGCCCAAACGTGTGAAATCGTCACTGCCAGGCGCGCCACCAAGAAACAATTCGTGCCTACTGCCAGCTCATCTTTGCAGCAGCTCGGCCAGTTGGCTTGGCACTTGCGAGCAAAGTTCTGTAGCGCCAGGTCGCACTGTGCCAGGTACTGTACATACACAACATCTAATACATATGTACAGTGATTTTTCCCGCGGATCCGCGCACGTGAAACAGGCGACGGGACGGATTCGGGCGGGAAAGGCGGACACGCGTCCGCCAGTGAGCGAGGGAGGCTGCATGCCGTGAGGGATTCCCAAGGGACCCTCGCTGAGGAAAACTTTTTCCTCGCCCCGACGGCCCTAGGGAATACCTACGGGTTACCGAACGGATTATTGGCCGTAGCTAACCCCAGGGGGAACCGAACTTCCGCCATCGCCAGCCACGTGGCTACGTCGTATGCGTCGTTAATATAAAAGTGGCAAAGAACAAGAGGCTGACGAACAAAAAGCGAAGAAGACGTATGCTCGCAAGCGTAAAACAAGAACAAGAACAAGAACAAACAAACAAACAAAAACAAAACAAACACACACGAACAAGAACCCACCAGCGCGAAAACTTATGCTGTAGAGGGGGATTCATGAGGTCGGGCTGGTCGTAACGAAAAGAAACCCTGTACTTTGGTTGCAGTCAAAATCCGCGAACTGAAAGGCTAACATCGCCCCTGGAAATATCTGTCGTAAACGCACAAGTCCCCCTTCCCGTTCGCGGGCTTCAACGCCCCGGTTGTCGCAGGCGCGAAAATACACTGGGACTTCGAGTCCAGCAAGGTTTCGCGCCTTCGAACCTTGTGAAACATGCTCGCAATAGCACGAAAAACATGCTCGCAATAGCACGGAAAATCTAGCTGTAGTGGGAAGTCAGGAACCGCGAATGAACCCGCGAAAAGCGGCCATTTTTCCACCCGCGAAAACTACCCGAAAAACGAATCGCTATCCAGGTCAATTGTTCACCAACGCGAATATGGTACAAGAAGAGAGCACGAGTGGGGTCATTTAAAATCGGAGCCCCAAATTTACTGGCCATCCCGCGGAAAAGGACGATCACATAAATCTACGAAATCAAGGGGCGACTTTCACACTCGCGTGGATGTCACGAAAAACCCCACGAGCAGTTTCAAACTCATGGGGATTTCCGATTTTGCTCCTAAAAAGAAATTCGTAACTTCCACACCCGCGTGTACTTACGAGACCTCCGAATGCCGTGGCCAATTTCACACTTGCGGGAATTCACGACTACCCGTTTTAATAAATTCGCGGCGAGGTTCCGCCAGCACGAAAGTATTCATGGTGGCTGTATTGCCCTTTTGATTCTGTGCAGAATCACACAAACGGGCTCACTTGTGAGCTGGCAGGAAACACAAACACCATCGTACGGTGCAAAGCGAAACCGAGTGGGTCAACACCCGAGCACACCCATTGAGAATCTGTTTTAACCATAAAAAAAGCGGGGCATCCTGAAACCGCGGTTACAAAATGGCAGCTCCTTGAACGTTTCGTGCCTTAAAAGGTGTGTGATTCTTAGCAAAGGCACGAAAATGTCCCCCCCGAAAATCATATCGAAGGGGTCGAAAACACGAGTTTAACGAGCAAAACGGTTCACTATGTGCCAAAAAATCGGAAAGGGGGGCCGGGGGGGGGGTTTGAATTGTGTTTGCTTCGATTTTTCCCTTTTCGAGCTCAAGCGAACACACACGCGTACATTAGCACAGGGATAGCCGTTGAAATACCCTGTTCGCACAAAACATACAGGCATTATCGGGTGCGAACTTCCCTTCCGTTTCAGGGGCGAACACCCGTCCGATTTTCGCGGGCGCGAAAATACACAGTGGGAAAAAAAATTGGAGCCAAAAATTGCATGATTCGCTCACAAAGATTTCTGCTTTCCTATTCACGCCTCATGTTTGCAGCTATGGTCGTGTTTCCCTGTGTCACGTGCCACGTACCACACTGAATGCTTTTAGCATGTATGCAAACAAATTTAGTTTACGATAATTTTCTCAGTGCCTTGATGGTTATATTTCCTACCCTTTCGTAACCAATTTTCCTTTACGTTCGTAACGAGTTTCGCATACGCGATTGCAGGGAATTCGAGTTTCCCGGGTAACCCGGCCCACTGTGAGCTGAGTCAGCCAGTTCCCCACCCAGCTGCGTCATTCGGTTCGGAGCTGAGTCAGCGAGTGGTCCCCGCGGGCAGCCGAGGCCCGGCGTCCCGGTCAGGGCCCGAAGGGCCAAGCCTCGATTTCCTCGCCAGGAGGGTCGGGCAAGTTGGGCGGTTGACAGGGCACTTCCAGGCTGGCCTCGCTCGCGTGCCCGGGGTGACGACGGCGAGGGCATCGGGCCTCCTCGCGGCCCCTCCCTCGCGGAGGAAACGACGCCCTCGGCCCGAATAGAGCAATCGCGCGCTGCCTGCTGTAACAATCTGCCGAGTCACACGCCATTCACACCAGCCAGTCCAGAATGCCACCGACAAGGGCCGGACAGCGGTGTGCATGAGGACTACCGTAACCTTGATGCGGACCCACCGACACTGACTAGTCAGACACGCTGACTTCAGAACACTGACCAATCAGAGTGCCTGATTTCTGGCCGAAGTGCCTTCAGAGTGGAAAATTTTTTTGGGGGTTGGAATCAGAGTGCCTAAATTTGAAACATCAGCCCTGGTAGGAACACGCCCTTAGCTTGAAAAACTGGCCATCCATACACAAACCCATGCTATAGTCATATCTAGAAAGCTTGCTTTCCTGTCCTTGTTAATTGGCATCGTTCACATTTCAACTGCTTATTATAACAGACATTTGGAGTTAGAAAACTAATGGTAGTACATGCCATTATACGAGTTCAAAATCATTATATTATCAATTCATTATTATTAGCTATCAATCTTCCCGTTGAAGTGTTGACAATCATATCCCTTGGTAGGGTCTCAGAAGCCAGCGTAAAAACGCAAAATCTGGGTTACCGTAATCACCCGGATTTAAGATTCTAGGGTCTTATGAAAACTACGGGAAAAAATGGTGGGGGGTCTTCTCATATGGTAGTAGTAATATAAGACCCGGGTCTTTTTAAATGAAGATGTTTTTTATACTTGTATTTGAATGCAAAGTTCACGTTGGTGTTTGATTCATTTTTTGTTTTCTAAAAAAGGGCACGCGGAGGATGTTTTTGTGACGACAGTTCGTCAATAAAAAATCTACTATTGCTTTCTGATTGGACAACCACATAGCCAATAGAGGCAAAGGAACCTCGAAGAACGACCATAAGGATCTCATCGCCAGGCATTTGCCAGGTGGCATCGCGCTCACAACTGTTCAAGCTTTGATTCGTGAGCCTGGTAATGGCGAGAAAAACAAAAAATGCACAACATTGACGGCGTGATGCCCACGTAACTTCATCGGAAGGGGAAAAGTTATGTTCTCCTTCAGAAAGCGACTCTATTGTATTATAAAAACACACGTTCGCTGTAAAGGTGAGGGTCTTATTGTTAGAATCTTAGAATAGAACGAGAATGGGTTGCATTGAGCAGCATGAGGAGTACAAGTACCAAACCCTAGAATGTTGTACCCCATATAAGCTACCCCACTACAGCCTACACAGACTATAGTGTATGAGTTTGACACACCCCCATAGGCAAAGTGGGGGAGAACAAGGGGTCACAAGACCAGTCAAGCAAAGCAAGGCAAAGCAAGCTCAGGGTGGATCACAACGTCACCACACAGTCTGAGCACAAGTTCAAGGCCACAAGGCCAGTTCACATGCAAGGGTACATATATATAACGCTAAACAAGCAAGGGCAGGTATATATATGTAACAGTACAAGCAAGGTCAAGAAGTAAGCAAGTGAGGCAAGGTAGGCACAAGACCTAACAGAGTACAGAAGCGCTGATGATCACAAGGCGCGAGTGCCTTGGTGAAGATATCAGCAGTGTTGGCCTCAGAGGCCACGTAAGCAAGGCGCAGCTGACCACGCTGCTGCAGCTCACGAGCAAGGAAGTAGCGAAGAGCGATGTGCTTCGTTCTGTGCTCCAGTCTGTGCTCCCGACACAAGGCCAGCATGGCCTTGTTGTCTACGTACAGCACTGGAGGAGAACGAGGCGGCTCTCCCAGGTCAGTCAGCAGGTAGGTGAGCCAGCGTAACTCCTGTGCAGCCATGGCTGTGGCGTAGATCTCAGCCTCACAACTGGAGCCGAGAACAGAAGACGAGCGGGTAGACCGCCACGAAACAGAGCCGGAGCCAAGGCTGAAGGTGTAACCCTGTGACGACCGCTGCGTAGCCTGGTCGTCAGCCCAAGAAGCGTCTGCGTGACCAGTGAGGACCACTGAACTCTGCCCTCCAAGCACAAGCCCCATGCCCGACGTACTGCACAAGTAGCGCAACACCCTCTTCGCTGCAGCCATGTGCTCTGGTCTGTGTCTCCCAGGAGCAACAAAGCGTGCCAGAATGCTAAGAGGGTATGCAAGGTCAGGTCGAGTGCAGGTCATCAGGTACATGAGGCAGCCGACAAGCTCTGGGTACGGGCCACTCGACTCTACGGACTCATCCGAAGGCAGAGCTGAGAGCGAGTGGCGTGTAGGCAGAGGAGTGGCCTGAGGCGAGGAGTACGTGAAGCCGAAGCGCTGAAGGACCTGCTGCACCATGTGTGACTGAGTCAGGGTAATGGTGCGCTGTGCTCTGTCCCGGGTGATCTGCAAGCCAAGGTAGCTGCGCAGTTCACCCAGGTCTGTGCACGTGTGTCTCTTCTGCAGCTCGGACTTCACGTAGGCAAGTCCAGCAGTGTCAGCTGTAGCAAAGACCAAGTCGTCGACGTACACGAGGATGTAGAACGGCGGCAAGGAAGAGTCGGTGCGCAGAAACAGCGACGGGTCGGCAGTAGAAGGAGCAAACCCAAGAGCCGCAAGTGTAGTCCTCAGTGTGTCGTGCCACTCACGAGGCGCCTGGCGGAGACCGTAGACTGGCCGCCGGAGGCTCCACTGGGTGCCAGGAGGAAAAGTCCCAGTGAAGCCAGGTGGGCGGCGCAGCCAGATCTCCTCGTGCAGGCTGCCCTGCAGGAAAGCTGTGCTGAAGTCAAGAGAGTGCAGCTCGTAGTCTCGGTGAGCGGCTATGTGCAGCAGTACCCGAAGAGTGGTCATCTTCGGGGTGGGAGAGAAGGTCTGAAAGTAGTCAACTCCCTGCCGCTGACTGAAGCCACGAGCCACGTAACGCGCCTTGAAGACAGGCGGAGAACCCGGCGGCCGCTTCACCCTGAAAATCCACATGCCACTGACAATGTTCGCCCCAGGCGGGGGAACCTCGTCAACGTAGGTGCCTGTGGACTTCCAGGAAGCCATCTCTGCGTCCATGGCTGCCTGCCACTGAGAAGAGTAGGGACCCTCTATCGCCTCCGCGTAAGAGCGCGGAGTCGGGATGTCAAGTGCATGGACACGAGATGAGGTGAAGCAGCAGCCAAGCACTGGAACTCCTCCTGCCTGTCCTCAAGGACGTCCGTGCCAAGAGCACACTCACCCCCGACGGACGGAGGATAGACAGACTCAGACTCAGCGACGAGACTGGCAGCGTAGTCTAGGCGACAGCGGGCAGCGAAGTCGACAAGCTCAGCAACCAGAGCAGACGCAGCAGAGGACTCAAAGGAAGGGTCAGTGACAACAGTAGCAAGGAGACGCGTGACAGTAGGACGCGCCGCACGAAGGGAGTCCGACTCAGGGTCAGGAAGGTCAGGAAGAGAGGACGCGGGAGGAGAAGGCAAAGGGGCACGCAGAGGAGCAGTGGAAGGACGCAGAGACATCCGGTGCGTACCGGGGACAGGGGGAGGACGCTGACGGGAACCACGACCACTAGTGCGAGCAGCGCCGTCAGGCGACGCAGGGCGAGGCGCAGGCTCACGACGCTCAGCAAGACCTCCAGTAGGACCAGTGTAGGGAGAAGGAGAAGGAAGCGGGGAAGGTGGCTGTAACTGTGACTCAGACTGGACAGGAGGCGGACACTCTAAGGCAGGAGCAGGACCAAGAGAGGACGGAAGACCAAGAACCTGCTCAAGGAGCGGAACGAAGTACGGCCGTGGCCGCGCAGCTCCACCAGTGCCAGCAGGAACAGCACCAGCACCCCCAGCGGGAGCACCAGCACCAGGAGGACCCCCAGCTCCAGCAGCTCCAACTCCAGCACCCTCAGCAGCACCAGCGCCAGGAGCACCCCCAGCGCCAACACCCCCAGTAGCTCCAGCTCCAGCCGGACCACCCGAAGACGCAGCAGCTCCAGCTCCAGGAGCACCAGCAGCACCAACGCCAGCAGCACCAGCAGCTCCAGCTCCAGGAGCACCAGCAGCACCAACGCCAGCAGCACCAGCAGCACCACCAGCTCCAGCAGGAGGAGCACTCGTAGGGCCAGCAGCTCCAGTACACTCGGTACGAGCACCTCTGGGACCCTCGGCACCAGCACTCTCAGCAGCAGTAGAACCTCCAGCTCCTGCAGCACCACCAGCTCCAGCAGCACGTCGCCAGCGCCGGGCGAACCACTCACGCAGCTCCTGTGGAGAGAGCAGCTCCCGCCGGGACGAAGCACCCGAAGAACTGTCAGGCTCAGCACCACCAGACGCCGGACGAGCAGGTCCAGCACCCTCAGGCTCCGCACTCCGAGACTCAGCACCCCCAGGCTCAGCACCCCCAGGCGCAGCACCCCCAGGCGCAGCACCCCCAGGCTCAGCACCCCCAGGCCCAGCACCCCCAGGCTCAGCACCCCCAGGCTCAGCACCCCCAGTCGCAGCACCCCCAGACCCAGCACCCCCAGGCTCAGCACCACCAGCAGCACCAGAGTCAACAGCTACCTCGACTGGCTCAACTGCATCTACCTGGGACACACCTGAGGGAGCAGGACCCTGAGGGGGGAGGGGGTCTACCGGAGGAGGACATGGCGTAAGGAAGAGCGGCGGGGGAGGGAGGGACGCAGTGCGGTAGGGGAAGAGACGGTAGTAGGGAACCGACTCGTCAAAGGTGACGTCCTGGGACGCGAAGACACGGCGCGAGGTGGGGTGGTAGAACTGCCAGCCTGGCGCGTCAGGGGGAAAGCCAAGGAAGACGCAGGGAACAGCACGAGAGGACAGCTTGTCCGCAGACAAGTCGCGGACAAACGCCCTAGATCCCCAGACCCGGAAACGCGACGCATCACCAACCTTCCCCGTCCACAGCAAAGCAGGGGAGGTCTCCGGCATGGAGACCCGGGGGTGAAGGTTGAGCTGATGCGCCGCGTACCGAACCGCAAACGGCCACAAAAAATGGGGAGCAGCCGCATGGATCATGGACGTACGAGCGACGTCCATGACCATGCCGATGCGGCGCTCAGCAATCCCATTCTGCTACGGAGAGTCCGGAAGCGTGAAGGTCTGGCGGATGCCTCGTGCGCGACAGAAGGCCCGCAGAAGGTCAGAGGAGAACTCTCCGCCTCTGTCGGAGTGCAGACGCCGAACAGGAAAGTCGGAGCCGAAACTCTCCTGGAGCTGGAGACGAGCTGCGCGGATCCAGGCGATCAACACCTCAGTGACATCACCCTTGCTGCGCAAGGGGAAGACTGCGGTGTAACGCGAGTAGTCGTCAACCACCAGCAGGAAGTAACGCTCCTGACCCTGTCCACGGACGTGGCCTGGGCCCCACACGTCCATGTGAAGCGTCTGCAGCGGAGCCTCTGTCGGAGGAAACTCGGAGGAGTGAGGGGCAGCGCGCTGCCGCCCCTCGACGCAGGGAACGCAGGTGGGGGCAGGCCCCGGAGGAAGGGGAGGGAGGGACCGGGGGAGGCCAGAGACAAGAAGACGGGACGCCATGCCTCGAAGACGAGGCAGGGAGGGGTGACCAAGGCGGTGGTGCCAGAGGAGAGTCCGGTGGGACAGGAGACGACACGAGCAGGGGGCAGACTCAGGACCAGACCTGGACGCCGCAGCAAACACCTGACCCGACGCTGCTACCTGAGCAGACTCAGTGACTGGAGGAGACTCAGTGGTCAGTGTGTACAGGCTCGACCCCGGCCGACGGGTAAACGTGGCCAAGTGTCGGCCCGTGTCCGCACACGTGCAGTGGGTCACCCGCTGACGCGCAGGGGTGAACTGGTCAACTCCTGCATCCTGTAGGTCAGCACCCGCCACCAAGTTCGTAGAGAACGAGGGGAGGTAAAGACCCGACAGGGAGCCAGACGGGACCGCTGGACACGGTAGGACAGTGGAGTAGTGGGCAAGGACAGGACCCCCAGAGGGGTCTGCCAGGGAGACTGCAACGGGCCGACTGAGCGGCGTGAGAGTGGTGCAGTCTCGAAAGAAGGAGCGGGAAGCACCCGAGTCAAGGGTGAAGGTGTGGGTGTCCGGTGACGACGCAGCACCTGAGAGCGCAGACTCACCGGCACCTGGGGCGGCAGACGCACTGGCACCTAGAGCAGTAGCCTCACCAGCACCTGGGGTAGCAGCCGCACTAGCACCTAGAGCGGCAGCCTCACTCACAGGACACGGCAGCTGCACCTGGCCATCACCAGAAGCTCCCGACCGGCCCACTCCAGAGCGACTACCACTACGGCCACCCCGACAGCCCCAACTGGCGTACCACTCACGAAGCTGCTGGGGTGAAAGAGGACACGGCAGCTGCACCTGTCCACTACCAGAAGCTCCCGACCGACCCACTCCAGAGCGACTACCACTACGGCCACCCCGACAGCCCCAACTAGCGTACCACTCACGAGGGGCTGCTGCTGCAGTGCCGGGCGGCTCCAGGGGCGGCTGCTGCAGGGGCGGCTGCACCAGGGGCGGCTGCTGCAGTGGCGGGCGGCTCCAGGGGCGGCTGCTGCAGTGGCGGGCGGCTCCAGGGGCTGCTGCTGCAGTGGCGGGCGGCTCCAGGGGCTGCTGCTGCAGTGGCGGGCGGCTCCAGGGGCTGCTGCTGCAGTGGCGGGCGGCTCCAGGGGCGGCTGCTGCAGTGGCGGGCGGCTCCAGGGGCTGCTGCTGCAGTGGCGAGCGGCTCCAGGGGCGGCTGCTGCAGTGGCGGGCGGCTCCAGGGGCTGCTGCTGCAGTGGCGGGCGGCTCCAGGGGCGGCTGCTGCAGTGGCGGGCGGCTCCAGGGGCTGCTGCACGGGCAGGTGGTGACGCCGCGGGCAGGGCGACGCGGCGTGCAGATGGCGACACCGCGGGCAAGGCGACGCAGCGGGCAGGTGGCGACGCCGCGGGCAGGCGACGACGCCGCGGGCAGGCGACGACGCCGCGGGCAGGCGACGACGCCGCGGGCAGGCGACGACGCCGCGGGCAGGGGCTGCGTCGCGGGCAGGCGACGACGCCGCGGGCAGACAACGGCGCCGCGGGCAGGCGACGACGCCGTGGGCAGGCGACGACGCCGCGGGCAGGGGCTGCGTCGCGGGCAGGCGACGACGCCGCGGGCAGGGGCTGCGTCGCGGGCAGGCGACGACGCCGCGGGCAGGCGACGACGCCGCGGACAGGGCGACGCGGTGGGCGGCGAGAGCCTGCAGAGGCGGCGCGCGGTCGGGCAGAGGCTGCGCGCGGGCCTGACGGGTCTGCAGGGGCGGCTCTCGGGCGTGACGGGCCTGCAGAGGCGGCTCGGGGGGGGCCTGACGGGTCTGCAGAGGCGGCTCGGGGGCCTGACGGACCTGCAGGGGCAGCTCGAGGGCGCACGAGGGCGCACGAGGGCGTACGAGGGCGTACGAGGGCGCACGAAGGCGCACGAGGACGTACGAGGGCGTACGAGGGCGCACGAGGGCGCACGAGGGCGCACGAAGGCGCACTAGCAGAGAAAGGCGCACGAGGGCGCACGTAGGGTAGGGCGCACGAGGGCGCTTCTAGCGGAATAGTGGGCCCATTGTAGAAAGCGGTCCTAGGTAGCAACCTAGGCTCTGATACCATGTTAGAATCTTAGAATAGAACGAGAATGGGTTGCATTGAGCAGCATGAGGAGTACAAGTACCAAACCCTAGAATGTTGTACCCCATATAAGCTACCCCACTACAGCCTACACAGACTATAGTGTATGAGTTTGACACTTATAATGTTTTAAGTCAAAAAGGGGGGTATAACAAAAACATGCTCAAATATAAGACCCACGCCCGTATTATATACCCGGGGGTTTACAACTGGGGGGGGGGGGGGTCTTATATCCGGGTGATTACGGTAAAAGAAAAAGGACATATCAGACAAATTTTCATGTGAAGGCCGTTTCTTGAGTCTTCTTTTCTCATGCGTACCGTATGGCCCCGGATATTGGCGCCGTCTGATTAAAGCCAGCAGGCAAAATAGTGACCCCCCCTTCTAGTTGGGTCCACTTGAAATCTCTGAACAAAGTTGTTTTTTTTTTTTTGTTTGGGACAGTTGAAGTGTGATGTCACGCTTTTTTTGCACCACAGCGCGACTCTCCAAGTGGGTGGGAAAAAAACCGAATCCCAATTCAGTTCGCACAGTTGCGACATGCAACACAACACATTCACCAGACACCACTGGAATTCACTCAACTCCCAGCAAGCAACAGCACGCAGGATAACTACACACATCAGTTCAAACCGAACAATTGAGTTTTTGAAACAGTCTGTATCGGCCCGATCTCTTTCCCTAATCACAACACACTTTCAAGCTAGGTCGGGGTTCACAATTTTGCACTCTCGTTTTAAAGGCGCCGACGCTTATATCTGGAGCATGACGCTTATGGCCGAAACTCGACTATAAGCACCCCCCCCTGTAGACCCTTTACCTATTATCTGCGCACGTACAATTTTAATACAAAATCATGTTTGAAATGGTAACGCGATTCATTTTTTCAGCGAGTCTTCTTTTATTTCGCTTCGTCTGAATTGTGAAGACCTGACTGGTTGCGCGTCCAGTCAGGATGTGCTCGCATGAGGTGTCATTGCCTTTGTGTGAGCGGCGCAATATTGCTTCCGCGCGATTCTGCTTTGTGACGGTAAAACATTTTGCCTCGGTTGAAATGGCAAGAAGAAAATGTACAATCTGGTGCTCTAAATTCATATTTTTGTATTTGTCATTATATTAGCGCCAGCGCTTATGCCCAAAACTCATTTAGAAACGCCCCCTTAAAAAAATCAATTTTATTATAAGCGCACCTTCGCTAATATCCGGGGCCATACGGTACGCTAAATTTTCGCTTTTATTTTATTGTGCATGATTTTCTAGCGTTTTTTCTAATGTGTGCAGATTCATCAGCCTTCTATTTGAAGAGAACTCTCAAATCAGTGCCACCATGATTTTTTACGAAGGTCAGATTGAGAAAGCTTTCTTCTTGATTAGCAATAAGCATCGTTTCTGTCAAAGAGAAAGGCCGCGATCTCGCCGTCGACGAGAAGTTCTCGAAGGAGTGGTCGTCAAGTGGGGATTCTGTTGTTCGACGGAGGTAGCGGTCGAGCAGGCTCTGCTCGACGGAATCTGGTCGACATCGTCGATGGGAAGCGTTAGTCGAAGACAGCGGTCGACGAGGCGCGTCGAAGAGCAGTGGTCGATGATGTCTGTCGAGGAGCGCTGGTCGACGACAGTGGTTGAGGAGCCGGTCGAGAGGTGCTGGTCGAAGAGGCTTGTCGAGGAGCTCCGCTCGACGGGGTCTGCTCGACGGGCTTTGCTCAACGTTCTCTGCTCGACAGGCTCTGCTCGACAAGCTCTGCTCAGCGAACGCTGTTCAACCGAGTGGCATCGAGCTGATCGACCAAATTCGCAGAGGTGTATGAAACTCTGCGGAGGTGTGCGAAATTCGCCAAGGAGGTTTTGGCAACATTCGACCTGCTGAACGGCATCACGTGCTCGACGGTTGGCACCTGTCAAAACCGACGACACGTTTTCTACCTGGCACGTGCACAGTGTGCCTGACCGTGGAACCGTCGACCTGCACCTACTTGGTAGGTGCGCACATGTGCGCAGCTAGTCACCTGCTACTGCGGTGCTGGCAGACCGCTCTGCTGCAGCATTGGCAAGCCGCTCTTCTGCTGCGCTGGCAGAGTTTGCCCTGCAGATGCTTGCTAGGTGTTGCATGCCATTCTAGCTATATCGACTTGCATGCCTCATTGTAATCTAAGGATATTTCAAATTTCTTCGTGAAAACTCTAGCCAATGTGAACACAAGTGGTAAGAACACTATTAGAACGTTACGATCACTCGCACAACCCCGTACCCTCCTCCGTAGTCCACTCCCGTTGTGTAGTGACTCTCCACATAGTGCGTTGAGCGTGGACGGCCCTGCGTTAGAACCTTCAGATTAAACGACTTTGAGCCTTACCTAGGTTGTTGTTAGGCCGACAGCCGTCTCAGCCTTACCTAGCGCCTTACCTAGCTCCGCTCGACGGGGTCTGCTCGACGGGCTTTGCTCAACGTTCTCTGCTCGACAGGCTCTGCTCGACAAGCTCTGCTTAGCGAACGCTGTTCAACCGAGTGGCGTCGAGCTGATCGACCAAATTCGCAGAGGTGTATGAAACTCTGCGGAGGTGTGCGAAATTCGCCAAGGAGGTTTTGGCAACATTCGACCTGCTGAACGGCATCACGTGCTCGACGGTTGGCACCTGTCAAAACCGACGACACGTTTTCTACCTGGCACGTGCACAGTGTGCCTGACCGTGGAACCGTCGACCTGCACCTACTTGGTAGGTGCGCACATGTGCGCAGCTAGTCACCTGCTACTGCGGTGCTGGCAGACCGCTCTGCTGCAGCATTGGCAAGCCGCTCTTCTGCTGCGCTGGCAGAGTTTGCCCTGCAGATGCTTGCTAGGTGTTGCATGCCATTCTAGCTATATCGACTTGCATGCCTCATTGTAATCTAAGGATATTTCAAATTTCTTCGTGAAAACTCTAGCCAATGTGAACACAAGTGGTAAGAACACTATTAGAACGTTACGACCACTCGCACAACCCCGTACCCTCCTCCGTAGTCCACTCCCGTTGTGTAGTGACTCTCCACATAGTGCGTTGAGCGTGGACGGCCCTGCGTTAGAACCTTCAGATTAAACGACTTTGCGCCTTACCTAGGTTGTTGTTAGGCCGACAGCCGTCTCAGCCCCCATGGTCGACCCCGTTGTTGAAGCGGTCGTAGGCGATACCTTGGAGGCGCGAGAGGCTAATGTTCGACGATGCCACGGTGCTGGCAAGAACGGCGGAGCAAGCTTGGAGTTGATGCTCCTTGGAACCCGTGCGCAGTGGGCGTACAAAAATCACCCTCCCCGTGCTGAAGCGGACACTGAGTCCGCCTCTCCTCGACCAGTGCACAACGAAGGCGACGGCGGGCAACGTTGTCAGTGAAGGAGGCACGAGGGCGCCCCGTGGAGTGATTCGGGTCGCCGACGTCGTCGTCGGCGGAATGCAAGGGCACGTGCTGCGGTCGATGGTGGCTGCAGGCAGCTCGCACGACGACATCGTCGGTCAACGTCGTTCTCCCCAGCGGAGAAAAGTCGGGCCGAATTCGGCAACTCATGTGTCACCTGGTCGAAACGGAGGCATCGCGCCGGCGTACGGCTACTTCAAATTTTCGCCGGACAAGATCGCTGTGGCGAATCCGCTCAAAGGTCAACATAACTTGATTACATGGATGGAGTCCATCCAGGCTCAGCTCGAGATCACCGGATTGAAGAAGTTTGTCGACAGCGAGGTGTTGGCGCCTGACGAAGAGGACGTCGAGCTCTGGTCAGAATTTCGCGCTGCTGATCTTTTGACCTTCATGGTCATTTCGAGGTGCTGCTTGCCTCTAGTGCAAGTCACTTTGAAGTCGTGCAGACTTTGTGTGGACGCTGGCTACCAAGCATGGCAGTACATCATGCGCACTGACCGGTCGACCGACGACCTCTACATCGGCCAGCTGGAGCAACGGTCTAGACATCAAGAAGTCGACCGCAGACGACCTGCCGTGTGCCTCCTGCGTCGGCGGCAAGCTTGCGCGGCACACCTTCCCCGACCAAGGATCGGATGTCGAGAATGCGCTCCACGTGGTGCACATCGACTTCTGCGGGCTGTTTCGAGTGGCCGCCAACGATGGCTGCATCTAATTTCTTGTGATGAAGAACAGGAAGACTCGCTACGTGTGGGTAAGGCTGATTACGAAGAAGAGCGCTGTGCTGGTCGTCTTTGGAAAGTGGCTGAAGGTGGTGGAGCGACAAACGTCGAAGACGGTGAAGATGCTCTGTTCTGACTGTGGAGGGGAGCTCCTCGGTCAAGCCTTCACCGACCTCGTCGAGGACGAAGGAATCCTCCACAACCTCACGTGCCCATACACTCCGCAGCAGAACGGCATGGCTGAGCGGGAGATGAAGCACCACCGGGAGATGAAGCACCACTGCCTCGCTTTGTGACAGGCCTTCTTGGTGCGCAACTGCCTCGAACGGGCGTCGCTGCCTTCGGGGACTACGCCGCACGAGCTGTTTTTTCGAGTAGAAACCTGATCTAACGCTGGCGCGGGTGTGGGGCTGCATGGTGCAGTTCATGGTTCCCGAGCAGCAGCGCGGTGGGAAGCTGACGCCGAAAGCCCGCTGGGGTTTTCACCTTGGAGTGTCGCCGGAGAGCAAGGGCTGGGAGGTGCTCGACTTGACCGACAACAAAGTTGTCACAATGGTCAACGCAATCTTCTATGAGACCCTGTCGATGGAGAAGTGGAAGACAGAGTACGGGCCGGCATCAATGAGGACGCCGTCTGCCCCGCCGCCAGATTCCTCCTCCATTGCTCGCCGAAGTCGACGAGAATGACGACGAGGACATTGAAGACGTCCCACCCCCTCCTCCCCGTATCCCCGTTGTGCCCCCGTCGGCGACTTCATCGCCCTCCCCTTTACCGCCTGTAGTCAAGCTTTTTTGGAAGAGATCTACGTCAGCCGTCGACGATGAGGGGAGACTTAGTGCGTCGCCTGCAGCGCCGGTGGCCGGCATGACGCCGAGAAGGTCGGTGACGGGAAGCTGCAGACGATAGGGAAGTCATCGGCAAAAGTTCCGACTTCGGCAGAGGAGCTGCAGATGGGGCAGCAGCTCGACGACGGCTCGTTGAGCGATGTTGTGGAAGTCGTCGGTGATGCGAAGCTGCAGACGACATGGGAGCCGTTGGCAGAGGCGCCGACTTCAGGGGAGTCGTCGGCAAAGGTTCCGACTTCGGGAGAGGGGCTGCAGACGGGGCAGCAGCTTGACGACAGCTCATCGAGCGATGTTGTGGAAGTCGTCGGTGTGGCCGACGACGATGAAGGGGTGCTGTCGACATGGGAGCAGTCCGCCGACAGTGACGTGGTGGAGGTCCCGGTCGAAGAAGTGAAGCCGAGGGGTTCTACCCGCTCCAACCTCGGCAAGCCCACAGAGAAGCTGAGCTACTACGCTTGTCCTCCGCCAACCGCCTACAACACACTGCTCGATGACGCGCAGGCCGACGTCGACCTGCCCAAGCTCGACCTTGACGTGCACGCCGATCCGGAGCGCCGTTGGGATATTGCCTATATGACGGTGAAGGAGGCATTGGCAAGCTGGAAGGGCAAGGCAGTGAAGGCCGCCATGGACGAGGAGATCCGCAGCCTCATCGCCAACGGCACGTGGGAGCTGGTAGAGCGTTCGCGCGGTGTCAACATCATGAAGAACCGCTGGGTGCTCATGACGAAGTACCATGTCAACGACACGGTCGCCTGCGAGAAGGCCCGCCTGGTTGTGAAAGGCTTTACGTAGGACTACGGCGCTGACTACAATGAAACGTACACGCTGGTGGGGAGCTACGTCACCCTGCAAATCTTTCTCAGCATCGCAGCTGTCCTCTACCTGCATTTGATGCAGCTCGACATAAAAAACGCGTTCCTGCAGATCAAGCTAGATCGCGTCCTCTACATGTACCACCCCAACTACTACAACGACGGCACCGGCCGCGTCTGCAAGCTGCTGAAGAGCTTGTACGGCCTGAAGCAGAGTCCGCTGCCGTGCCCTCCTCTGTAGTCCACTCCCGTTGTATAGTGACACTCCGCAGTTTTCATTGTTTGTGGACAAGTACAGCATTGCCCGTCATATAAAGACATAGACGTACATTGTATAAAAGCATGCGAGGCGTGGGGGGGGAAACTGAACTTGAAAGTCCGAAATGAAAAATGTGGGTAAAACCAAATTGCCAAAACCCTTTCGTTCGTAGAAGGAGATGGGCGAATAACCAGGTTTTGTTTTGTTTTTATTGTTTTGTTTTGTAGTAGTAGTAGTAGTAATAGTAGTAGTAGTAGTAGTAGTAGTAGTAGTAGTAATAGTAGTAGTAGTAGTAGTAGTAGTAGTAGTAGTAGTAGTAGTAGTAGTAGTAGTAGTAGTAGTAGTAGTAGTAGTAGTAGTAGTAGTAGTAGTAGTTGTTGTTGTTGTAGTAGCTGTTGTTGTAGTAGTTGTTGTTGTAGTAGTTGTTGTAGTAGTAGTAGTAGTTGTAGTTGTTGTAGTTGTTGTTGTTGTTGTTGTAGTTGTTGTTGTTGTCGTTCTTGTTGTTGTTGTCGTTCTTGTTGTTGTTGTCGTTCTTGTTGTTGTTGTCGTTCTTGTTCTTGTTGTCGTTCTCGTTCTTGTTCTTGTTGTCGTTCTTGTTCTTGTTGTTGTTGTTGTTCTTGTTGTTGTTCTTGTTGTTGTTGTTCTTGTTGTTGTTGTTCTTGTTGTTGTTGTTCTTGTTGTTGTTGTTCTTGTTGTTGTTGTTCTTGTTGTTGTTGTTCTTGTTGTTGTTGTTCTTGTTGTTGTTCTTGTTGTTGTTGTTCTTGTTGTTGTTGTTCTTGTTGTTGTTCTTGTTGTTGTTGTTCTTGTTGTTGTTGTTCTTGTCGTCGTTGTTGTCGTTGTTGTTGTTGTCGTTGTTGTTGTTGTTGTTGTTGTCGTTGTCGTTGTCGTTGTCGTTGTCGTTGTCGTTGTCGTTGTTGTTGTTGTTGTTGTTGTTGTTGTTGTTGTTGTTGTTGTTGTTGTTGTTGTTGTTGTTGTTGTTGTTGTTGTTGTTGTTGTTGTTGTTGTTGTTGTTGTTGTTGTTGTTGTTGCTGTTGTTGCTGTTGTTGTTGTTGTTGTTGTTGTTGTTGTTTTTTTTTTTTTTTGTTCTTTTTGGGATTTCTTTTTCCCTTTTGTTTTGTTTGTTTGTTTGTTTGTTTGTGTGTGTGTGTGTGTTTTTTTTTTTTTTGAGAACTTCTACCCTATCAGTCGGGCATAGTAAATGGATTCCCTAGGGCCACAAGATCCCATAGGAATCCAATCTTATTCCTTGAACATCGAGCATGTTTGGAACAAGGCAGTACCCTGAAAAATCGGACACCAATATCCCAGTAACCCATCAAAAACCGTCCCGCGCATTCACTTTTACGACCTTAACACACATGTTTCTGGCTCCGAGTTACTATGCACATCACGTACAAATTTATTCTGCACATCTCGTTCAAATAAACTGCCTATCACCCGCACTAATCGCAAGTCCTATTGCAGAGTCGCGATCGCACAATTGTGCTCAGTTGCCATTTCACACCCGCATCCTTTCAAAGGTGAGGTCCAACATTCGCCTCACCTCCTATCCACGCCCCTCACCTCCTATCCGACTTCATCTCCTCTCATCAACGCCCCTCTCTGCCCATCCACTCCCTACTCCTCCCATCCACGCCCCTCAATTCCCATCCGCCTCCATCGCCTCCCATACGCACCTCTCTCCGCCCATCTGTGCCCCACTTCCCCCATCCGCACCTCTTACCTCCCATCCACCTCTATCGCCTCCCACCCCTGACGCTCTCCTTTCATCCGCCTTGATCTCCACCCATCCGTGGACCTCTTCTCCCAGCCGTATTCATTGCCTTGATTCTGCCACAATCTCCTCCCATCCGTGCCCTTATCCTCCCTTTCACCTCCATCACCTCTCATCAGCGCCCCGTGATTCCCATCTGACTCCATCTCCTTCGACCTGTGCCCCTCTCCGCCCATCCCAGTCCTACTCTTCCCATCCACGCCCCTCACCTCCCATCCGCCTACAACCCCTCCCATCCACGCTTGTCTCATCCCATCTGCCTCCATCGCCTCCCATCTGCGCACCTCTCCTCCCATCCACATTCATCACCTCCCTTCCGCCACAAACTCCTCCCATCTGCGATCCTGTCCTCCCATGCAACTTCATCTCCTCCCATCCGTGCTTCTCTCCTCCTAACTGCATTCATCGCCTCGCTTCTGCCACAATCTCCTCCCATCTGTGTCCTTTTCCTCCCTTTCGCCTCCATCTCCTCCCATCCGTGCCCCTTACTCCCCCCCCCCCTCTCCCATCCACGCCCCTCTCCACCTATCCATGGCCCACTCTTCCCACCCGCGCCCCTCTCCTCCTTTCCACCACAATCTCTCCCATCCTTGCCCCTCTCCGCCCATCTATGCTGCGCTTCTTCTGTCCACGGACTAACATGGTCATATGTTGCTCTCTCCGCCATTTTCAAAACCTATTCTCGCAGCCACAGCCAGACAGTCAATGTTCGATGGAACCGTCCGCGTCGCAAACCCCCCAACAAGGTATCGATTCCCAGCTTCCAAGCCTACTGCATTGAGTTATGAGCATGAGCTACCCACTAACAGCATGTTCAGTGTGCTGATCATGCCGATGGCAGCTCATGCTCAGAACTCTGAGCATGAACTATCCACTAACAGCATGGATAGTCTATTGAATATGCCTAAATAGCCCAAGCTCAGAGTTCTGAGCATGAGCTGCCTACTGACCAGTGCCGAATTGCCCGTGCTCAGAGTTCTGAGCATCGGTAGCCTACTAAGACCATGGTGAGTTATCTGACCATGACAATAGCAGCTCATGCTCAGATTTCTGACCATGTGCTACTCACAAACAGCATGGCCAGCCTGTTGACCATGCCAAAATAGCCAATACTCAGAGTTCTGAGCGTGGCAGCCCACTAAAAGCATGGTCAGCCAAGTGACCATGCCAATGGCAGCCCATGCTTACAGTTCTGAGCATGGGCAGCCCATTTGCGTAGTCTTGCGGAAGCGCTGGTCCCAAAAACAGTTCGTCATGATGGGTGATGACGAAGACAAGGAGTACGCCAACGACCCAGGAATTTCAGAGACTGAAAACAACACAATCGGTACCAATCCTGGTGCTTATACAATCTGTTTTTGAACGGATGGGCCCAATGGTTTGTCTTGGATGGACACGAGACCATCTGGCTCACAAGGAAGGGTGGGAGGTGGACAAGGCCGAGGCAATGCCGCACCATTCGGAGGGGTTGGGCGCAGCAGTGGATTTTCTGTCGATAGGGGGGGGGGGGGGCAGCCACTCCAGCCCAGCCATCTCCGGGAAGTAGCAGTGGAGAGCAGGATGGTGGGCAGGGGCAGACCACGCCATCACCATAGCGAGAGACCAACAAGAGGCAGACTTGTGAGGGCCCAGATGTCGTGAGGAGTATCTAAATCATGGCCGGCGCCAAGCAGAAGAGCATAAAGGGGATTTGGAGTGACTCTACACAGTAAGTAAGGCATGAGAGCACCACTCGCCATGATATGTCTCGCACCGCCTCCCCTTGTCCCCCATAATATCATGCACATTGTTGCTGTACGAACTTAATCAATTTCGATCCTTGACCGCAACCTTGTAATACATCCGAGGATTCAGTCTACACTGCGAGCTGGACTATGGGGAAGGCACGGATGGTATGACTGATCGCATCGTTTTCTCGTGTTCTCTCGAATTGCGTATTCATGGTGAAAGTTGGCAAGAGTTCCACTAGCAAATGTTGGATAAAGAATGATGGAACGGCAATGACAATAGTGACTACATCTGAGGCCTAGAAACCTAGAACACAGACAGTGTCAACGGGAGTAGTGTTTGGCCCCGTCCTCGCTTGGGCGGAGCCGACCTCGTGGTCGGGTGTGCGGGGGGATGCAGCCGACCTGCAGCAGTGGGTACGGGGGCCACTGCAAGGGCGTTGAGCTGGGGGGCGCCTGGCTGGAGGGCGCCGAGCAGGTGGACGCCGTCCTTGGCGTCTGGGCGGCGTCCTGGGCGTCTGCTCGGCGTCCCGGGCGCCTGGACGCCGACTTGGGCGCCTGGACGGCGTCCTGGGAGGCTGGACGCCGACCTGGGCGTCTGCTCGGCGTCCCGGGCGCCTGGACGCCGACCTCAGCGCCTGGACGGCGTCCTGGGCGAGTGGACGCCGACCTGGACGCCAGGACGCCGACCCTGGGACGCCGGGTTTGGTGTAGCCGGCGACCGACTGGGCTGGACGACCAGGCGGGGTTGCCCGTATCAACAGGACTAAGCAAGAATGTTTGAAAGGAGAGGGGTTTCACTAGCAGCAGTTGGGGTACATATAGCAAACCCTAACTGGGTTGTACTCGCTATAGAGCACCCCACTACAGGCTAGACAATAATAACATTCTGACACACCCCCATAGCCAAAGTGGGGTGTAATCAGTACAATGAGCAGGCATAGCAATAGTTCACAATTATAAGCAAAGCTAGAGGTGATCATAGAGGGCAAGTGAGGAGGAGGAGAAACTGTGAGGGCGAGAAGATGAAAGGCGCCGACTGAAGCTGCAGACACACGGGCAACAGGAGCGGCGCGCACAGTGGCTACCGAGCGCACGAGGGCACCGGACTACGGGAGTATCTGGCTCCGCGGCTACGACGAGCACACACAGGAGCAACGGACCCACAGGCGACTGGCGAAGCAGGCTCGCTGGGCTACCGAAACGCGCGAGGGCATCCGGACTACTGGCGCTGCTGGCGTCACGACGGCTACCTCCACGCAACCTCCCCCGACCGTCCCACGCCCCTCTCACACACCCCCTGCTGACACCCTAGCTCCACTTCCACGACACCCCCCTTAAACCCTAAACCTCGGCTCCCACACATCCACCCCCCTCAGCGGCAGCTGCAGCAGTGGGAGACGGAGGAGGAGGAGGAGCAGGGGACGGCGCACACACACGGCACCCCCATAGCTGCCACCCCCACACTCCTCACCCCCAAACCCTAAAAACGGGCGGAACGGGGGAAGGAGCGCGGGGGACGGCGAGGGGGACGGCGCTCGGCCCCCAGGACGCCACCACGGGGCAGCGAGGGGCCGCGCGCGGCTCCCCAGGGCGGCGCGACGGGAAATCGGGGCCGCGGGGGGTCGCGCGCGGCTCCCCAGGGCGGCACGACGGGAAATCGGGGCCGCGGGGGGTCGCGCGCGGCTCCCCAGGGCGGCACGACGGGAAAACGGGGCCGCGGGGGGTCGCGTGCGGCTCCCCAGGGCGGCACGACGGGAAATCGGGGCCGCGGGGGGTCGCGCGCGGCTCCCCAGGGCGGCGCGACGGGAAATCGGGGGGGGGGGGGGCCGCGGGCGACGGGATCGCGGGGCCGCGGGCGACGGGATCGGAGAGCCGCGGGCGACGGGATCGGGGGGGGGGGGCCGCGGGCGTCCCCCACGGTAGGAAACCGCCGCGCGCCTCGGGGCGCACGGCGGGGAGAAAACCGCCGCACGCCCCGAGCGCGCGGCGGGATGAAAAATCCGTCGCACGCCACGGGGCGTGCAACACACAGAGTAGTAGGAGCAGCGGAAGCAGGTGGTGGGGCCCACCCACAGGATCGACCCATCTGGATCGTCCTGCTCTGATAGCATGTCAACAGGACTAAGCAAGAATGTGTCATTGAAAGGAGAGGGGTTTCACTAGCAGCAGTTGGGGTACATATAGCAAACCCTAACTGGGTTGTACTCGCTATAGAGCACCCCACTACAGGCTAGACAATAATAACATTCTGACAGCCCGGTCGTCCGGGATACCTGGGCGACGTGTGCGAAAGTCGCCGGGATGGTTTCTGCGAAGGCGACCTCGGGGGTGGTATCCCGAGGTCGACATGGCTGGTGGGCGCAGTCGCTGGCGTGGAGTCTGCTAGGCGTCTGCGCTGTGCTCGTGACGAGGTGTGGAGCACCAACCAGCTGCACGCACCTGCGAAGCAGGTGCACCGTTGTCCTGCGGGTGCAACGCTGTGCAACCGACTTGCTGCAGCGTTGGCACACCATGGACTTGCAACGTTGGCAAGCCGCGACTTTGCTCTGCTGGAGCGGTGCGAGCTCTGCCGCGCTAGACCGCGGTCGACCATGCTGCGCCGGAGGTCGACCGGCAGCCTAGCTAGCTCTGATGTAGTCTGGGTTGCCAATGTTGTTGCTATCATTCTGAACCATTGTTGTCATGTTTTCCTAGTGAAACTCTTGCCAATTTGTCTCCCCTGTGAACTAGCAAGCTGTGTGTGCACAAGGAAACGACTGAGGAACGAACGCAGAGATCACCCTCACACCCGTGCCTAGCCCGTGGCCTAGCT